TATCATAAATTTGCAGGAATGTGAGTTGTGGAGATGAAAATCTCTCAATGTTTATTGTTGTTTTGAATTAAAGCCGTGCACAGATGTTTGTGCTCCGACTTGTGATCTAAGTAATTGCAAGTTCAGCCTCTTGGCTCGCTTGCCTGAACATTTAATTTTTCTCGGCCGTCTCCCCAATCGAACCGAAATTGCCACTTTTGCCAGAAAATGATTTTTAAGTGGCAGTTTGCGGCAAAATCGGGAGCCGTGTGCAGATTTGCTGGGCTGATTTATGCGAGCGTTGACCCTGCCTGTCATTACCAGGCGCACCGGCCACGCAGGTATAATTATCAACGCAAATTAGCGCTCACCAAAAGAGATTTGTATGATTATAAAGTCCCTTTCAATAGGACCTCTGAAGCACGCTGCGGGCGTTTTGTATTGACGAGAGTCGATCGCGCTTTCCAAAAGCGCCACCTGCTTGATCAAAAATTGCAAATCGAGAATTTCCAAAATCCAGAGACGGATCTCGGTTTTCGGAGAATTTTAAGCGGCTGGAAATTAAACGCGTGTCGTGACTGGAAATTGCCGCGAGTGCAATAAAACAAAAACAGCAGTGGCGTGCTCGCTCATTTTCGACTCCATTCAGGCTGAAAAGTGAGACGCCCTGCTTCAGGCGAATCAAATCATCCGGGCAAACAAAGCATTTGAAAACCCTCATTAGGAGAGAAAACGGTTTTTTGCAATCTATTGCAACGGTAGAGATTTTTCTGCGGGCAAATAAAACGGCAACTTAACTTTTTGAATGCAATTTAGTTTTTATATTTTGACTTTAGGTTCATTTCAATGTACTAGAGAGAAGGAAGTTTGATGCATTGAATTTATTTCGTCGATGAATATGCCTGTAAAATTCCACCCTGACTGGGCAGGAGAAAGCTTCCTGCATGGAAATAATTCTGTATTGAATTTGAAATCTCGGCAAACGTGCAGGTGAAGAATGCTTTTCTCACACTTGAGCTGCGTTTTGTTTGCCAAGCAGCCCCTTTTTCGCTATTGTGAGCTCAACCTTCCAGGGCCGTCTCTAAATGAGGCCTGACACGTGCAATAAAGGGACTTTCATAATTTATTCTGCTGGTCGTAAACCCTTTCTTCTTTTTTACAATTTTTTAATTTCTGTTTGAATCAACCGCGAAAAATGAATAGTAATAATTTATACTGATAAATTTAATAATCTCTTGTTACTTATCCTAAACCAATATACTTAAGATTTCAGATGTTCCTAAAGTGAATAATTTTAAAATGTGCAAATTCAATTGATTTGCTGAATTAATTTATTAAAATTTAGAAAATACAGGATTTCAATTGTATTTCCACCTACCAAATATTACATTTCTGTCATTTTATTTATTTTACTGCCAATCAATCTGATTGTTGACAAATAAAGTTAAAAACTGAAATTGAATTTTCTCGGGAGGCTGCAATCAGCGAGTAGAAGAAGGTCCCGCCCGGTTGTTGGTCTCGCTCCCTCCGTCTCTCTCCTTCTCGTTCGCTCGCAAACAACTCACAATCAGATGCAGGCAGGCTGGCTTTTTATAATCCATTGTTGGAAGGTGTAAAGCCGCTGCTGCGTTGCCTGCTCAACGCCTAGTTTACAAACTGCGGCTGCTCTCTCATTACGACGTGTTACCATTCTCAAGGTGACTGCCCGAAATTATTCGCGTGGGCTAACGAGGCCTCTTTCCTTCTTTATCGGCCCCCGATTTTCATTTTTATTTTCATTCGTGCCGCCGTGGAATGAAACGAAAATTCCGGGGCGTGGGAGGCTCTGATAAAATGGAAAGCATAAAAAATACAAGACACGACCCCGAGAGGAAAGAAACGTGAGACGATCGCTGCTCTCTCGTTAAAATATTTGACTGCATTGTTGTTTGTCTCTCTCATGTGTGTGCCTTACCACCAGAGAAAGATGGAGGAAATTATTTATCACGCCCGCCAGGCCTAAAGATGTTTTGTGAAAAATATCATGTGACAGTTTGGTCGAGGAGCTCATAAATATAATCTGTAAATTTATTGAAAGCCGGTTTTTTCTGATGACATCAAATAAATCTTCAAACTTCTTGCAAATGTTATTCCGTTTACAATCCACGAATGTTCAATCTTCAAAATTATATTAAAATATTTCAGAAATATTGATAATGAAAAATTAAAAAAATGGAGTCTTCGATGGAGAGTTAGTTATTCTGGAGGAGATAACTCGGCGTCATGTTGCGCATTTGCAGCTGAAAGGAAATCTAATTTGGACGCAGCCACTGAGAAATTGGGGTGTCTTTTTCATCAGGACGGATCTGTGTGGGGGTGACGCTGGCAGGGGGCGGAATTTACGCAACAACGGGGTTGTGTAATCGTCGTCGAGCCGAGGAATTTTGGGTGGTGTGTGCGGCCATGTGCATGCCAGACTAGCTGGCCGTAAAAACAGCTCGATGGATTTTAGTCCCGCGGGAATTCCACTCGCTGAAATATATAGCACGAGCGAGGCTTCAATAAAAGCGGCGACGACCGCAATCGTAAAAAATTAGAATTGGCGTAGGAGAGAGACACAGAGAACTGGTCTTGTTTTACTGTCGGCGGCAAAAATGCAGCTCGTGAAAGTTTGGAATAATTTGGTTTTCAAAAATGCGAGGTATGACGAGACAAGCGAAGTGCCATGCATAATTAATTCCGGTACGTGCACTGACGACAGGTTTTGAACTTTCTCAGGCAGATTTTTATCACGACCAGGCTTCAATAAAATTTCAATAACAAATGACAAAAAAAGCATAAGTATAAAATTGCGACTCATTTTGAAAATTATCTCCCTCATAAATTTTTTCACTATTTTATGGCACCTCAATTAAAGAATTCTCAGATTTATTAAAAAGAAAATTATTTAAATGCTCAATTTAAAATAAAAATAAGTTGTGGAAATGAAGAGAATTTTTTTTATTCAAAAACAACTTCTTCAAACAAATGCAAAAACAACATTTGAAACAAAATTCAAATACTATTTTTGCAACGAGGATAAGCCCAATCTCTTCATTTCCATGATCATCTCTCGAGCGTCAATTTCTTCAAACAAAAATAAGTTGGTTTGGTTCAATGAAGCACAATGAAGTTTTTTAGCTCGAAAAGTAGTGCATAAATTTTAAAGATAATTCAAATAAGAAAATATTGATAATATGGATAAATAAAAAATCATACATTATTTATTTAAATGAAATTGCATATCTTTTGTCTTTTGCTTGGCAACTCTTTGCAAGAAAGACTATGCATATTTGTGTAAAAGAACATGTTCATAATTTTTCTCGCACATTTTAGTAAAATGTCTCTTAACTTAAAAAACAAACCTGAAACGGAAATTCAAATATTACTATGAACACATTATATTATACTTTTTACCGTGAGACATATTCTGAAATGGAAATAATGAAGTAGAAATTGGCCTTAAAAACTAATTTGTTTTCAGTCGATGAAAATTCAGGTTGAAAAGCTAGAAAATCCGACTTTTATACAAAAAGAAAAATCCTTTTTTACAGGAAAAAACCCACTAAATTTATGAATCATTAATATTTGTGTGAAGCCTTTTTGGATTCATTTTGTTGAAAGGGTCAAAGAGGTTCAAATTCAATCGTATTGTCAGCCGCAGCCTCGAATCCAAGTACGTCTCATTCCAAATGGCCGCTTCTCCTCTCTTCCATTTCAAATAATCCACTCGAGAGTTGGTCATTTGTTTGAGTGGTTCTTCTCAGCTAGAATGAGGAGTGACAAGAAACGCGCGTATTATGCAAATGCGCGTTTCTCTGAGTGTAAAACGAAAGTATTAAAAAAATCTCTACACAGAATAATTCTCCCTTGAAATTTATTTGTCCTCTTCTCTTATCGAGTGGCATCGCGACCAAATTTATTGCGCCCATTTTTGGTCGCATAAAAACCAGGGATAAGAATTTACGCCTCTATGAGATGCCGACCGCGTGTGTTTTACATTTTAATTCCCGCCCGAGGTGCAAACAAGAAAGTCGCGTCAAGTGGCAATAAATTGTATAAAAAAGGGCTTTGGCTTTGTCAACGCGTTGCCTTTAAAATTTGTCTATATAGTCGCGGTTTTGGGCTGGGAAAATTTCGGGCGGGCGCCGCTTTACTCTACCATCAGTCAAATGTTTTGACAGCGTGGCTCGCCTGCTCAAAAATTGATTTTCGCCCTATCTTGATGGCAACAAACGAAACGAACGCGCACACAAGTTTTATTAATGGTTGCTACTTTTAGCTGAAGGTCAATTATTGTCGATAATTGTGCACCAAATGCTGTTACCTACCGGTCATAGAAATGAACTGGCCAATTTTCACAAGCTGAGTTAAAATTTAAAAATTTAAAAGAAGATGTGACAGACAATTTATGGGAATATTAACAATTTTTACAATTTATAAGGAGAGGCTTTGGAAAAAAAGTAACGGCCCGATTTGTTTTGATGTTAATTTTTCTCTACATTTAGCAATGTTTTGTTCCAAGGAGACATTGCGAGAAAAATTGAATTTATCAGGAGTACTGAATTTTTAAAATTTAATAGTTTTTCTTATGGGAATTTTCTAAAATATTTTTTTTTTCTCAAAATTGGCCCGACCAAAATTGATAAAAATTTTACCAAATCTCGTTCATATCACCCCAATTAAGATAGAAAAATAAAATCAATAGGTTAGTCAACATAAAAAAATTTACATTTATCTTATGGGAAAAGGTTGAGAAAATTTATTTACGGTGTAGATATCATAAGCTCCTCGTTAATTTAGCTTTGTTTAAGAAATTTTATTTCCGCATATTCAAATATTGAAAATGAAATCATTTCTCACTGTCAAACTGACTTTCATTTACATGCCACACTTTTCCTATTAAGTTGAAGAAATTTTTAATTTCTGGTCTCGGCTTTTACATTTATTTTATTTAGTTTTGTTAAATTTGACTTTGGGACTAATTTTTGCGCAATTTCCAGGTGACGTCCTGAGCGGGGTGTGCACCGTCGGCCAGTGGGACCCGACCGCCCTCCGAGGTTTCGTGTTGGTGCCTCTGCTGATCTACCTGATGCTGGGCACCATCTTCCTGCTGGCCGGATTTGTGTCCCTCTTCCGCATCCGCACGGTCATGAAGCACGACGGCACCAAGACGGACAAACTGGAAAAGCTTATGATCCGGATAGGGGTGTTCTCAGTGCTGTACCTGGTGCCGGCCGCCTCGGTGCTCGGCTGCCTGTTCTACGAGCAGTACTACCACGACAAGTGGATGCTCACGTGGAACTACGAGATGTGCAAGGCGCACAATTCATACTCCATCCCGTGCCCCCCGCCCCTGGCGTCCGGAAAGCCCCTCGAGCTGATGAAACCCAACTTTGAGGTTTTCATGATCAAGTACTTGATGGCGCTCATTGTCGGCATCACCTCCAGCTTCTGGGTCTGGTCCGGCAAGACCCTGCTCACCTGGAAGAACTTTTTCCTCAGGTTCAGGTCGCGCCGGGCCGAGGCCTACGTGTGAACTGCTGTGTCGAGGAGGAATCTCCATTTGTTGGGAAAAGAACTGTCAGTGCCATTTTTCCTAATCATGCCAGTTTGAAAAGCAAACGGACTTTTCTTTCTTATTGATCTAATTTGAAGTGTCAGGTTGAAGATATTTGACCTTTGAAATTTCATTTGTACTTTGATTCTTTCTTTGTTACGCCCTGACATTTCAGCAGCTTTTTACTATGACGCTTTATTTTCTTGAGATGATCCATCGAAAAGGTGCTATAATGAGCTAATATTGTGTACGTTTTGTAATTACAAATCTTTTTTGTACAGTTTTTTTTCAAGTACCTTTCCAATCTTCAGTTTTTAGTTGTAGAAGTTAGTTTGATAATGTGTAAAACTGATTCCGTCACAACTGTTTGCGAGAGAAGTAAAACTAATATTTTTCTGCCACTCAAGACTGACTATGCAACTAAAGTAGCAAAATTTCCATGGAAAATTTGTATTTTTCGCAGCGTCTGTGTTTATACAGGCAGTTGACGACTCAAAATTCAACAAAGTGCTCGATTTGAATTGCTCGCCGAGCCACTTTATGCAGCTTATGCAAATATTTATCGATTTACAAACAAAAGTGACAAAATTCTCTCTGCTCGTGCATTTGATTCATTGTTGATCTGATGAGTGTGTTCGCTAAAAGGTTTAAACAGCAATTGAAGAATGCTTCGGAGTTGCAAGAGCTTCAGAATATTTGTGAATCCACAGTTGTATATTTATTGGGTTAGAGAGACAGTTGAGAGAACTCATTCATTGTTAGCCTTTATGACATGCATGGACACTTAAACAACTCGAATGTAAAAGCATGTTTATTTATGAAATCTATTCTATGAAATAAAATCAGGATATTGTATAGAAACTCACAAATCAAGTATTTTTTTTTTGGAAATCCATATTTTTTTTTTATTCACAGCTTTAATTTCATATAAATCCCAACAGGTTCATTATTTACAGTAAAAGAATAAATTTAAACAGGAAATATCTGTTCAGCATAAAAATAATGTAATATCGTTACTGTCGTGGAAAATTGTCCCACCAAAGATTTGACATTTTAATATATTCAGCATTATCTTTATTTTGAAAAAAAAAATCATTTTAATTTTACAAGATATTTAATTATTTCATAGCACATCCAAAGACATTAAAAATATTGATGTTAATTAAGAATTTTTCATAGTGCAAGATCGCCTTTATTGAGTTATAAACCACAAGAAATTTGTATTTTTATCAAATAAGGAATCTTTCATCCACCAGAGTCTTCCTCGCAACATTATTTCTGCCTCCTATTTGTCGAAGAACAATCAGGGTCTGGAATAAACCCTCAAGCAATAAAACAAAATTTCAAAACAGAGTCATGACCTTACCTTAGCTGCAAGGGCAGTCGTAATTGCGGCGAGCAGAAAGTCAGCAAATATCATTTCCGAGCAGCAAAAGAGAGCGAGATCAAACGAGAAGAGTGTGAATTCGGCTCCGTGAAACAATACCCTATCAAATGAACTTCCGTCGTCGGCATACAAAATTGCCTTATCCGTCGAGTCGGCCAGCTCAATGTCCAGCAGCTTTTCCAAAAAGGCCTTTTCCTTAATTTCGTAGTCCAATTCGCGAATGGCCTGTAATCGATAGAATTTTGAAACTGCGTCGCGATTAAATTTCATCGACTCACGTGCTGGAAAAAGGCGGCCAAGAATTTGTTCATGGTGTCGTAGGCCTGTGCGATTCTGTCCGCGTTCCCTTGCCAGTGAACACCGTTTTTTGTCGAGCTGGACATCAAACGTCTGCTGCGATGCCCCGCCTGAAGAAATCTCTTAATTTTTCGATAAATTCAATATGTAGAATATAAAACTGACCGAGGTGTCAAGGGGAGCCGTGACTCTTCTGCTGAATGCTCGCATTTTCGGAGGAACGGCCATCTCGAAAGTCTGTTGCTCACAACCAGGCACCAAACCTCTGTGCGCACACAGATCCTCCTGCTCGCGCTTCAGTTGCTCGCCCAAAGTTTGCATGTCCGTGTCTGCTGAACCGTGAGCTGATCTGCAAATTATTTCAGATCCAATAAAATTAAAAAAAAAATTGTTTCTGGATTTTACCTCCCGTGCAAATAGTATCCATAATTTTCGTGCGACATAATAAATACGCTGATGTTTGCCACAGAACACAGATCGATGAACTGTTGGACGCAGTTGGAAACGTACCGCTCAAAGAAGCCCGTTATAAAAATCCACTGGAAAATTAATAATAAAACGAAAATGAAAATATAAAACGTTTAACAACCTGAGCTGCGTAAACAACAATGTACACCAGTAATCCAACAGCAAATCGCAGAGCGAGACTTTTGCCTTCTCCAAAATTCCGTTGAACACTGGTGTGCAGATCGGGATCTGGCGTCGCCCAGTGCTCTATTCCAATTATCTAGAAAGATTAAAAGCTTTAAAACTAGCCCCTTTGAATAGATAAACGCAACCCGCTTAACATGTGTGTCCCGCAGGTTGCCTACATTTCCTATATATTTTTAATTTTACCTGCAATAAAAACGTTGTCGCGAGCAATTGGAAAGCGACGCTCGTCCTTCTTGTAGCCTGAATTTCGTTCCACTCGTTGGCAACCAAATATGTGCGCCAAATACTGACTGGGTTCGATGGCGTTGGCAAAGATGCAATTTTTGGCCGCTCCCAGTCCATGAAAAAGAGATCCACTTTGGTCTGCATCCATAGTAAGTGGAGAACTTCCACAAGCTTTGAGAAATTCTGATTAAAATTTTCCCTAATTTAATTGAATTATTTTATACTTTAAGAGCAGCAGCACTAATTACGAGGTCCCTTAGCAAAGTTTCGTGCTCTTCGGTGGGCAGCAAAGTGTGAGGCACCGACTGTCCTTTGTACAAGAGAAGGGTCAAAAGTCCCGAGACTCCGGACACGAGAAGAAACGCGTTTGCCACTGGCCCGCATGCGAGTAGAAGCAACCTGACGAGGGTCAGCAGGTCAATTGTAGCGCCCTGAGCACGGCCATCCCTTCTGCTTTGGCTCCACGCAGCGATCCCGGCCCATACAATACCAGCGCTTCCCAAAACTGCAGCGCTCACCTGAAAAATTGTAATAATAATTTTAATTGAAATTTAAAAGAAGTCAAAACGCAATTTATTTTTTAATTTTTATGGAGACAGCGTAAAAAAATTCACCTGCACGCTGTAAGTTGGAGTTTTTTCCATTTCCCAAGTGACCTCAAACGAAACCTTGAGTGCGGAATTTTCCTCAATTTGGCCCTGATTAATTTCCGCATATGTCAACTCAATAAGAGGTGGTAAAATTTGCCCTGCGTTTTCATGACTCTGAGCTGTAACTCTTTAAAAATTTAAAAATACAAAAATACACGTAAGTAAATCTATTCAAAACACTTTACAACTTACTTAACTTTGCATGACTTTAGGTAGCGAATAATTCTTGGAATTTTGTTTTCTTTGGAAGTTCGAGCCAGCTCGTTGTCAACCAAAAACATCCGCCTCACGAATTGCCAATTAGCGGAATCCACAGCCTACATATTTTGATAATTTTACTTTAATTAAAAAAATTTATATTTATTCCTATTTTGTACATCATTTCCGCGCATATTCCGAATCAGCAAGGGGATAGGGTAGAGTTTTTCACTGCCGTCAGCTAACGTTGCCTCCAAATACAAATCCTGCAAGGTGGTCGTTTGAGACAAAAATTTCCTGGCAGAGACCAAACAGGAAATCTGGTATTTGGCGCCAAATCTCAGTCCTTGCTCCTCTTCGTCCAAAGGGCAGAGTGTCAACAAACTCGCACCACCACTTTCTAGTCCAATTAATTTGCCTTCAATGCTGAATTTAACAGCTCGAAGATGGAGAACGCTAGACTGATTTTCAAATAAAAAATTGTGTCACATAAATTAACTTATTAATTTCACATTAGAATTTCGAGTCAAAGTGAATTTGAGTGGAGACAACTTTCTTTTGGCCAAAACACTGGGAGCGTCACCGTCTCCGTACAAAAGCCACGGCCTGGCTTCAGTTCCCGAAACCACAGCGCCTGCTAGAGTCCTTTTCGCGTCCCGAAACGTTTTGCACGCAGAAGGGCCAGAATCGTCGTCGTTGTACAAATTTAGAGCGCACAAATTTGCTACGAATTGGCATGCTGTGCGGTTACCTAACTAAAAAAGAAAAAATTAATTAAAATGGTGTAATTAAAATAATTTTTGTATTATACTTGGCAAAGAATTGCAGATGGCCGGAGTCGGTCTTTGATAAGTTGAGAAGTAACGGTTTCCGTGTCGAATTGGACCTGCGCGAGTTTTTCCGTAACAGGCCAATTGACAAGACTGCTTTTTGGAACGCAAAGTGGAGGTTCGTCGGGCGGTCGCAGCAGTTCGTGACTCTTGACAGGGCAGCTGCAGTTTGCGGAAACGTCCAGAGAGGATCTCAGATTGCACGGTTCGCACAGACCAAAAGCTCCTAAATTTTCTCTAGCCTTGAAACCCGGAGCGCAAGCAACGCATCGTGGTGTTTGAGACAAAAGTCCGCTCCATTCCGTGCTAACTATAAAAATATTCATTTTGAATGAAATTTTCAATTGAAAAAAATTAAAATGCGCTCTTTTCATTACCAGAAATGTGATTGGCCGGACAGGAGGCACAAAGAGACACGGCTGTGCTGTTCGGCTCTTCAGTGGTTGTGACTAAATTAGCACAAGGGACGCATTCACGCTGGTCAAAGGACGGTTCGTGATCTTCGGGACATTTTTGGCACCTGGGAAATTCGCCTCCGACCGTCGGCACAATCACACTAGCCGCGTTGCATTGACAAGAAAATCCTGGAAATAAAATAATTTGGTATGATTTTAAAATTTTTAATGTTTCTATTCTAAACCATCTTCGGTTGGTACGAGATTCGCGAGGTGACTGCACTTGGAGCACTGCAGAAGGTTCACATTGTAAAACTCGTCTGGGAGGCACGTCCCGATCTCCGCAAACTTGATTAATTCTTCAGCGTCTACAAAAATCCGAAAAAATGATAAAGAGAAAAGGAGGGCTGAGAGGAAAAGCGGTGAAATCATGTTGTAATCATATAATGATGTATTGACGGGCCTTGCACGCCTGGAAATTAAGCTTTCGGCTTTCGCGGGCATTCCAATGCAGTGCGCCGAGCGACTGCAGCGCTGCGGTCGTCATCAAAATCAGACAATCCGCCGGCTTTTTTGTAAACAATTAAACACAGAACCCCGTGCGTTTTTCAAATTGCTTTTTGGTGTTTATTTTCTCCTAAACGAGTTGTAATAACTTAACTGGTATGAACAAAAGGATATATTCTTAAAATAATTTCATTTGCCTGCATTTTTAAAGCATTTATTTTTGGTAATAAATCAAATAAATTGTGTGTTCCAGAAATAAAAAAGGTTTCATCATTCTTGCATTATTTCGTGTCTGCTTCTCCACATCTGCAAGAACAGCCAGCAGAAATATGAGTGTCGTTCCAAAGAAAATCGGCACCCACAACGGAGTTTTCCACTGTGACGAGGTTGTTGCCTGCAACCTGCTGAAGAGATTGCCAGAGTACAAAGATGCAGAAATCGTCAGGTAATTTTCACATTGTTTCACATGAGCAATTTAAGTTGCTTTTTAAGAAAGTAAAAACCTCTATAATTACTCACAGAACCCGAGACCCAAAAGTTTTGGAAACTTGTGACATTGTGGTTGACGTGGGAGCAATTTACGATCACGAGAAGAAGAGATACGACCACCACCAAAGGTAAGAAGAATTAATTTACTTTGATGTCATCAATTTATTTTCTATTAAATGCTAAAATTTTCTAAATTTTAGGGAGTTCAATGAAACTCTGAAATCAATCCGTCCTGACAAGCCGTTTGAAATTAAACTGAGCAGCGCAGGTCTCGTCTTCTGCCACTACGGAGAACAAATTCTTCGAGGAATGATCGGCAAGGAAAATGAAAGTCTTCTGGATATTTTGTACAACAAAATGTACGAAACATTTGTCATGGAAATTGATGGCATTGACAATGGTGTCAACATTTGTGACGGAGAGCAACGGTAATTATTTTTTTATGTACATAATTTTACTTGTTAATCGTTTTTTAAGAAATTTGTAGGAGTTTTAGATCTAAAATTATGTCAAGTTTTCTTGAAAATTCAAATTTTTTTAGTCAAATATTTTAATGATTCATTTATGTAAATTGAAAGATAATTCTGTTTGAAAATAAAAGATAGATACAATTTCTTATAATTAAGTTTTAAATAATTTCTTTCTTTTTGTAGCTACCAGATCCACACAAACCTGAGCTCAAGGGTGGGCCACTTGAACCCTTCGTGGAACGAGACTGACTTTGATGAAAACGCCCTTTTCCGAGCTGCCATGGCCATGGTTGGCGCAGAGTTTGACGAACGCGTCCGCTATTACTCCACAGCTTGGTGGCCTGCACGTAGCATTGTCCAGGAGGCGATCAACAAGTGCCTGAACTCCTCTGACCCCAAGCTGAAGCAAATCGCCATCTTCGATCAGTGCTGTCCTTGGAAGGACCATTTCTACTCCATTGAAGAAGAGATGCAGATTGAGGACAAGATCAAGTTTGTCATTTTCGAGTCTTCCGACAAGCAGACCTGGCGTGTCCAGGGCATTCCAAAAGGCAACGCCCGCTCTTTCGTTCTCAGGTTATTGAAATAAAAAATATTTATTTGTCAAAATCAATAATGAATATAATTGATCCAGGCTGCCTCTGCACGAGAAATGGAGAGGAGTGCGAGACGAGGACCTGTCGTCAATTTCAGGAATTGAGGGATGCGTCTTCGTCCACGCCAGCGGCTTCATTGGAGGTAACAAAACTCTAGAAGGGGCTATTGAAATGGCTTGGCAGACTATTGAAAAGTCCAAAACTGATTAAAATGAAACCAAAATAAATTGAAGGCGAGCAATTTTATATTCGAGGAAATTTTTATTCGTCAAATTTAAAAACACAACATAATAAAAATTATAATTTGATGATGGATTAATATAAAAATCTGGAGACGCGCTCTTCGCTGTACCTCCACAATTTTTCTGCACTTTCCTTATTTTTGGCTCTGCAGGACGTGGCAGCTTTGGAGCATTCGCTAAAAGATTGTGTTAGATTCATTCTTGTTATTTATTTGGGATTATAAGGAACCTATAATAGAGTCCGTTCTGCACCGTCAGCTTTTTGTCCAAGACGCAGTGAAGGGTGGTTTGCGCCCCTTCATTAGCTGTCAATTTGGCCCACTCGATTCTCTTTTGAAGACTTGCCTGAACGCCCTTTAAATGCCTCGTTGCTTCCGTTGAAACGAGACCGGGATGAACTGCATAAGCCACGACCTCTGAACCTGTATTAAGTATTTAAAAAATATTTATTACTTTTGTTCTAAAAAAATACCTTTTAAGCGTTGAATAAGCTCTAAGGTGAAAAGAATGTTGCAAAGTTTGCTCCGGTTGTAGGCCTTTGTTGGCTTGTACGACTTTCTCATCTTCATGTCGTTGTAATTGATTTTTCCAACTGAAAGTTTTGCATTTCACGCTTTGATATGATTACCCAGTTTAATATTTAATTATAATTACGCCAGTGAAGGCCACTTGATACATTGATTATTCTAGACGGGGCACTTGCTTGGATCACAGGGAGTAGAAGAAGGGTTAGTAGGAAGTGTCCAAGGTGGTTAGTTTGGAATTGCATTTCATTGTCATCCTCGGTCAAAGTGTATGGACACGCGTAAACACCTTGAAAATAAAAATTTTAAAGTAAAAATTTTGATTATATAATAATTAAAACTTTTTTGCAACCTGCGTTATTGATGAGCAAATGAATTCTGGCCTCGGTACTGAGAATTTCCTCTGCACAAGATTTGACCGATTGCAAAGAGGACAAATCGAGCTTCACAAAATGTAAATCGCAACTGGGAATGTCCGCCTGCAGTTTTTCCAACGCTTTTTCCGAGAGCTCCAAATTCCGGTTTGCCATAATGACACGCGCGCCTAAAAAGTGCAATTTGTCTCCTCTTCAAAATATATATTTGCCAGATTTACCTCGAAGCAACAGTTCCTTGACCGTTTCGAAACCAATTCCAGTATTTGCCCCTGTCACTATCGCCGTTTTTCCATCCAACCTGGCTGTCGATTTGCACTTCGCTTTCCGCCCCATTTTTAAAATCAATAATTTTCCTAGTCGCTCACTGTGTTATTGAATTATTTTTCTTATCAATTGCGTAAATCATAATGTCTTTTGAGTTGACCCGTAAATAATCCTAAAATCCCTTTGTACTTCTTTATCTTCGTCTGTTATCAAGTTTGCGGGCTTGATAAGAAAAGAGCCCAAGCACAAATACAAACATTACAGTTGAGTACATTTTTTAAAAATTCTTTACTACTTCTTGTTAAAGTAACCTCAGATGTAAATAAAATTATTTTGATCTGGTTTTTATTATTTCTATAATAAATCCAATTTTATTTTCAAATTAAATTTCACATTGAACAATATGATAATAAATCGTTAAAGAATCCATTATTTAGATAAAAAAATTCATGGCAGTAAAATTATTTATCGGTTATTACCTTTTTGGAAAATAAACGTGAATGAGTCATTCGAAAGCCCGTTTGACCAATTCTTCGCTTACTTCCCACAATTTCTGAGCGTCCGCTTTGTTCCTTGCTCGGCTGCTCGTCTTTCCAGGCTTACAATCACTAAAAATTTCCATATTAGCATAGAATTTTCCTTCAGTTATTTGTTTAAAATACCTGAAGTAGAGTCCTGATTGGGTGGCCAGCCGCTCATCAAGGGCGCAGTGCAGGGTGGTCTGGGCGCCTTCGACGGGCGTTTTCTTGGCCCAGTCCAATTTGTTCAATATCCACGATGTGCCTCCCTCCAAATGCCGCCCCAGTTCCGTTGAAACCACACCGGGGTGCACGGCGTATGCAACAACTCCAGTATCTTTGAAAAATAAGTTAATTTCTTTCTTTTTAATATATTTGCCGTCGCAAATTCAATTTAGTAACCTTTAAGTTGGTCGGTCAACTTTGATGTGAAGAGGATGTTGCAAAGTTTGCTCTGTCCATAAGCTTTGGTCGGACTGTAAGATTTTTTCGACTGCAAATCATCAAATTTCACCTTCCCAACTGTAATTTTAAAACAATTTTTAACGAAGAGATTAAATAAATTAGTAAACCTTTTAATAAAAAGCAATGAGAATGATCGGGAAAATCAGAGACTAAAAATTATACTATTCATACAATTTTAGGTTTATGTGTGGGTGGTAAAATGCGACCATTACTTTTAGTATAATTTCGATTTTTCTCTAATTTTACAAATTTAAATTTTCGTGCGTTTTTTCATTGCCCAATTAACAATTTTGATTTTAAAGCAACTCCTATAAAAAAGTTTTCATACCCAAAGAAATTATTTTTTATCAACGTCAACTTACACAAATGAGCTGTGCTGGAAACGTTTACAATTCGCGCAGGAGCGCTTTCTTTGATCCGCGGCAACAGAAGCGTCGTGAACAAAAAGTGGCCCAAGTGATTGGTCTGGAATTGCATTTCATATCCATCCTCTGTTGTCATGTACGGGCACATCATTACGCCTGAACGCAATTTTTAAATACAGATTTTTATTTAATAATAATTTTGAAAAGAACCGGCGTTGTTGATGAGCAGATTAATTTTTGGCTCGCTCCTCAATAATTCCTCGGCGCATTTTTTCACCGAGTGAAGCGAGGCCAAGTTGAGCTGAACAACACGCACGTTGCAATTGGGCACTTCTTGGCGCAGTTTTTCCGCCGCTCTCTCGGAAAGTTCCACGTTTCTGTTAGCCATGATAACTTTCGCCCCTGTGATTAAAATATCGTTGATTATTATTACGAGGAAGGAAAACTCGGACGACCAAACCTCTTTTGACAAAATCCTTGGCAGTTTCATATCCGATCCCTGTGTTAGCGCCAGTAATGACTGCGGTTTTACCTACCAAGCTGGCAGTTGAGTTGCACTTTCCATTTTTGAACAGCCCCATTGTCGCTCTTCCTGCACAGTGACCAAAATTTTACATTTAATTCACAAACTGAATGCTGCGGAAAATTCCTTTCAAGGTCCGGTGTAATTATTAATTATTATTTAATTTTTTAAACGCAGAAACTTACAATTTTTTAACCAAAATCTAATTTTAACTTATGAGAAGAAAATATTTAATGAATTTTTCTTACCTTATGATTTACCGCTTATCTTTGTATGCTTCCTTTCGGCAATCTGCCTGTGAGCGGATTGAGCTTCTCGAGTGGCTTCGCCTCTATTTAATATAAGCCCAAAGATTTTTGTGTGGGAGGAATGATAGTGCACAAAGTGTTTTTTGGTGACTGCTTAGAGTGCTTACATCATCTTTTAAAATTCCATTCTAGATTTCTAGAAATTCTATACAAAATGAAAATAAATGGAAAATATTCCACGTGCAAATAATCTCCCGCTTTAGAATTGCTATTCATTGAAGCCGCAAAATTACAAGTTGAAAGAAATTGATTAATTACGGTTGATCATGGCTTATCAGTGACATGCCGCAGAGCAATCATTTCATATCTTTAAAATTAGTGCCAAAAAAGGTATTAAGTTTTAAATTAATTAAACGGAATTAAATATCAATAAAAAAGTTCCGTTTCTTATGAACTTTAAAAAAAACATTACACAATTATTTATCACAAAATTTGTGGTGCACAGAAATAGCATAAATTACACTTAAATTTACAGTTTTCAGACTTTGCTGGTTCAAAGATGACTCAATTTGACAATATTTTACATCGCCTTTGTTACTTGTTTTAAGGAGGCCTGTGCTGATTTTACAGTCACTGAAATTATTAAAAAAAAAATTATTCATATTTTTTTTAAACTATATTAAAAATGACAAACTTTAAAATTCTAGTCACACCTGAAGACAATTCTGTTTAGCTAAGAACATGTAGCAGAAAATGTGAAAAACTCAATCAAGGGCCTCTTTGATCAATCTTTCGCTGACTTCCCACAATTTCTTTGCGTCACCCTTGTTTGTTGCGCGTCGGCTCATCATTCCAGGCTGGCAATCGCTAAAAATTCCTCAATCAAGATATTCCTTCGATTTCTTGTTTTATATACCTGAAGTAGAGTCCTGATTGAGTGGCCAACCGCTCATCTAGGGCGCAGTGAAGGGTGGTCTGAGCGCCTTCAAGGGGTGTTTTCTTAGTCCAGATCATTTTGCTGATTTTGCTCAACAGCCTTAATTGATCTGATCCCCTTAAATGCCGACCCAATTCCGTTGATACCACACCAGGGTGCACGGCGTATGCAACAACTCTGGTTCCTATACAAAATCAAAGTCATTGTGAATCAAAATTTAGTTTTGTTTTTGATTAAAAAAATAAATTGAATTACCTTTAAGTACTTCGGTTAACTCTGATGTGAAGAGAATGTTGCAAAGTTTGCTCTGTCCGTAAGCTTTTGTTGGATTGTAAGACTTTTCGGACTGCAAGTCATTAAAGTTGATCTTGCCAACTGTTATTAAAAAATAATTATGAATAAAACCTTCATAAATAGATTTGCGGATAATTTTGTTCAAAATTAGCAGAAGTGTCTATGAAGGCTTAAATTAAAAAGCCAGGGGCAATGAACTCTTGTAAACAATTTACAATTGCCCCAATTTTTAATTGGTTTATAGGAAGGGTCCATGACTATTTTCCAAAATAATAATAATTCATAATCAGATATTGTTATCAAAAAATTTTTCTTACACAAATGAGCTGTACTGGAAACGTTTATAATTCGCGCAGGAGCGCTTTCTTTGATCCGCGGCAACAGAAGCGTCGTGAACAAAAAGTGGCCCAAGTGATTGGTCTGGAATTGCATTTCATATCCATCCTCTGTTGTCATGTACGGGCACATCATTACGCCTGAACGCAAATTTTTAAATACAGATTTTTATTTCATATTAATTTTGAAAAGAACCAGCGTTGTTGATGAGCAGATTAATTTTTGGCTCGCTCCTCAATAATTCCTCGGCGCATTTTTTCACCGAGTGAAGCGAGGCCAAGTTGAGCTGAACAACACGCACGTTGCAATTGGGCACTTCTTGGCGCAGTTTTTCCGCCGCTCTCTCGGAAAGTTCCACGTTTCTGTTTGCCATGATAACTTTCGCCCCTGTGATTAAAATTTTGTTGATTATTATTACGAGGAAGGAAAACTCGGACCACCAAACCTCTTTTGACAAAATCCTTGGCAGTTTCATATCCGATCCCACTGTTAGCGCCAGTTACAACAGCGGTTTTACTAAACAAATTGGCCGCAGAGATGCACTTTCCATTTGAGAATATCCCCATTATTGCTCTTTCTTCAGCGAGAAAACTAAAGAATTAGTAGGCATTTTTTTTTAAATAACGTTTCGTTACTTGAGGCCTTGAATTAAGTTAAAAAATTTTAAAACTCAATATAAGATATTAAAATGAAACGAAAGAAAAATGAGCTCCTCTCTTACCTTTTTACTGACCCACTTATCCTAACCCGTCTTCCTTTCTCTAAAGTGCCTGCGCACTGAGTGCTTCGTATGTCTTCGCTTTCGAGAGTCTTCGCCTGTAGTTTTCTTTTTTGGAAGGAGTAAAAGGATGCTTTGGAAGCGTGACGTATTCCGTCTCCTTTGAAAATTACATCTATAAAATTATTGAAAAATGTTGTATTTTTATTACCTTATTTATTTTTCCCATTCAATTCACATTTCAAAATATATAAAAATACTATATTATTAATGAACAGTTTTGAAAATTTCACTTACAACTGATGAAAATTTCATGCAAAATTATTTATTCAGTTGCATAAATGAATTTAAAATAGTTTATAAAATAATTGGCATTTAAAAATCCCCTTGAAAATCAAAGCCATGCTGACGAAATCTGATAACCATTGAAAAAGATATCAGTATTAAAGGGCACTGGGGTCTTTGCTTGACTTAAAATTTAAGATGGTTTAACTTAATTGCAATTTTAAAACAGATATCAATATCAGCATTCTGCTTTTCAAAATAAGCATGTCCAACATTTTTATTAATTAATGTATTATTTAAAAAAAAAACGCAATAATTTTATTCAATAAATTCATGGTCTTGTATTTAATTATTTACAAATGACAAAATACAAAATAGTTTAAAAATTAAAACATAAATAATTATTTTAACAATAGTAATTTAAGCAATTCAATCTCATAGGTAATCCTTTAACAGTTCTTCACTGACTTCCCACAGTTTTTTCGCGTCCTCTTTGTTTCTTGCTCTTTCAGAGGTCCGCCCTGGGCTGCAATCACTAAAAATAATTTTTTTATCATTTGCTTTTGAAAACAAAATAATAAGAGCCAACCTGAAGTAAAGCCCATTCTGCGTGGCAAGTTTCTCATCGAGCGCGCAGTGGAGTGTGGTCTGAGCTCCCTGGAGGGGCGTCTTCAGAACCCACCCGAACCTCTGGAAGGCCCAGGAGCAGCCGCAGGGCAGGTGCCGACCGAGCTCGGTGGCGACCACGCCAGGGTGCACGGCGTAAGAAACAACGCCGGTGTCCTTGAGTCGCTCCTGCAACTCCAGGGTGAAGAGAACGTTGCACAATTTGCTCTGGTTGTAGGCGAGCACCGAGTTGTACGACCGGGTCGACTGCAGGTCTTCAAAGTTCACTTTGCCCCCTGAAATTAAAATTTTTTTAATCAAAGGGATGAATTTAATGAATAATGAGGGCGTACCAAGGTGAGCTGCGCTGGAAAGATTGATTATCCGTGAGGGAGCGCTGTTTTTTACTGTCGGGAGCAGCAGGTTTGTCAGCAAAAAGTGGCCTAGGTGATTAGTTTGAAACTGCATCTCAAGTCCATCCTCGGTTTTGGAGTAAGGGCATGCCATGACCCCTGAAAAAAGTCAGGTTTTTTTGTTTGCGCCTTGAATAATTTATTCAGCGATCTGTAATTACAACAGTTTTACTCTCCGGTCATGACTTTTACCCTTTAACTCACGATATTGGCATAGATTGCCTTATGGTGCACCAAGAAACTTAACTTGCAAGTAAAGGGTAAATCAGACAGAGAGAAAACAGCTATCATGTTTTGCTTGAGTGACGAAAAAAATTGTTTGTAACTAAGCCTTGGACTGACCAGCATTGTTGACCAGGAGATGGATCTTCTGCTCAGTTTGGAGAAGGACATCGGCGCACTCCTTCACAGACTTTAGTGACGCCAAATTGAGTTGCACCACGCGGATGTCGCCGCCAGGTACTTCCTTTCGCAGTTCGTCAGCTGCACTTTCGGCGAGCTGGATGTTTCTGCACGCCATAATCACTCGGGCACCTAATTCATTTTTTTTTCATTCAACAAATAGTAAAAATTAATAATTAAATTTAAAATAAAATATAAGCACCTCTTTTCAAAAAGTCTTTGGCCGTCTCGTATCCAATGCCAGTGTTAGCTCCAGTAATAAGGGCGGTTTTGCCCTCAAGGGTGTCTTTTGAGGTGCATTTTCCGCTGCCGAAGAGTCCCATTGCGCCTGAATAAATTATTTAATTCAAAAGTTTTTTTTATAAGCCTGCAAAGTATAAATTAATAAATAAGAAAAATATTGTTTGCACTTTAATTTAATATGAAAGAATCTGTTGATTTGGAACGTCAGATGATTCCGTTATTGAGTGTCAAAGTAATCAAACTTGGCATTGTTATATTTGAGAAACCTTCAAGTAGGACGCGCGCGCCTCTATTCCGAAGAGAGAAATACTCTCGCACTCCGTAAAAATATACAATAGCACCAATCGGCGCCGATGGAGGTCAGTGGCAGCTAATGTGCCAAAAGCTACGGCCGCGAAATTCTTACGGAGAAATTTATAAAGAATCCAAAACAAATTGAACTGAATACGCTCATTCATAAAAAGAAAGAGGCAACAGGTGCGCTGCACAATTTTTGCACAGTTGTTTTGAGTGAATGCGAAAATATGTTTGAGAAACTTATTAATCCGTATTTAATTATTATTATTCAATTTTTTATTTTCAATTGTATTTCTCGGTGTTTTTCAACTCGCCTACTTTAAATGGCAAAAAATGAGGAAAACAATTATAATTTTAAGATTTTTTGTTATGGAAACCTGAAAATTTATATCAACATGCGATTGACCATGTTTTATGAAGCAAAAATTTCACGCAATAAAGGACGTTCATGTTCAGTTGCATGTTGATGTAAATTTTGCGATTCCCATAATATAAAATTGTAAAAAAAAGCGAAAGAAAGTAAAATAAAAATTTTAATTATTATTAGTCAGTGCAGAAAGAACGTTTATTTATATTTTCTCAAATCATAAGCTAAATTCTAAATACAACAATGTTTCGACGGAAAAGTACAAAAAGCTAAAAACGGGTCCGTCAATTCATTCATATTGGTTCTGAACACTGAAAGATTTCCTCTGCATGCTTATATATTGTTGCGTTTTCTGTGTATGTGTAATCACCTTTTTGCGTCTAATCTAGTTAATAACTTTGAAGGTCTCACACTCGTATTGATTTTGGCTTCTGCAGGAAGCGTGTACACAAACTGTCACGCGACAAAAGTATTGACAATAAAACGACTGAAATACGTTTTGTTTTGGAGAAAAGACAATAAAAAAAAGAAAATTAAATAAATTTTATAATTTAATTCGATAATCTCTTTAAAATAATGCACCAGATAGAATTTTGTCATAAGTCCCACGTGTTAAATAAATCAAATAAATAACCAAAAATAATGAATAATAAATTTTTTTGAATTTCTCAACAAAGTGGACGGAATGCAAATTAGCCAAATACCTGATTTTGGTTCCTTCCTTAATCTTTTTATAAAACGAAGCCAGAGGAATCGAACACGTGCTGTGTATTAAGGACCGCAAACTGTCTGACTTTGTAATGAGAAGGAACTGACAAAGCACTGCGCTTATCAAAAAGTGTTCACCATTCTGCGGTTCCCCTCCCGAGAGCGAGAAATAAACAGCAGGGGAAACGACAGCAAACGCTTGGTTACCTTTGGAACGGTGCCAGACGGCGCGACTCAGGCTGCCGAGGACGTTGGTCAGGGTGCGCAGGTACTCAGGGTGCATCGAAACCGACGGCAACGCCATCCTTCCCCTAATGAAATCTAATTATTCACCGATATTTTTTTTTTAATATATCGAATGGTTAAAAACTTATTCTTCATGAATTTTGACCTTATTAAAAGCGATATTTATAATTCATTATATGAATATGCTACTTTTTAATGTCAACTCCTTGCATTAATTACAACAAAAGCACTATGCAGAAAACTGAAATTCAATTTCCTTTTGCTCTGCGGAGCTCTGGCAGTAATAAAAGGTCACCTTTAATACAAACTGGAATGTAATCTTTCGCAGTCACGGTACTCCCGAATTTCTGTAGTCTAGACGGTCGAGTGTCTGCAACTCTTCTGCCAATGAGCACCCCTTCAGTCCCTCCCCGCAAAAACAGTTATCGGGTTTCATATCCACTCTTGCTTGCTAATAAAATAAAATGGTCACCTGCGTAGAATAAATAATCTCCAGTAGAAAACAATTATTATTTCTTGATGTTTTTCGTTTTTTTTTCTGATGCATAATTTTAAGTTTATTGTTTACATTTCATTATTGAAAAGCAATTTTTTTTGCAACGAGGAGAAAAGAATTGACACCACCAATGACAAGAATTTTGTTAAAACCCCAGAGGTCAAAAAGACCCCATTCGCCCCAGTAAATAGAGGAAAATAACTTAATGGTTCATGGTGAATATTTCAAAGCTCGCTTTTCCTCAGAGGCTTTTAGCCGTTTATTATAATTCATGTGAAAAACTAGCCTCCCGTAGCGGAAACACGTGTAGAGCGCATAATATGCTTTTTTTCCAATTTGACCGACAAAACGACGTAATTTTGTAAGTTTATAAACTATAAACTAAAACTACTCAAAAGTTTAAAAGCTTAAACTATTTTTTTTTTAAATTCGCCGTGTGACAGAGAAATGCTTTAATTTATTCAAACTAAAATATTCAAAATAAAGTTTAATCGTATTCGTGTATTTACTATAATTGCAGTATTAGAAACCCAAATGAATACGAACGTGGTAAAAAGCCTCCCCGGCGGGGAATCGAACCCCGGTCTCCCGCGTGACAGGCGGGGATACTGACCACTATACTACCGAGGACATAGTAAAATTGAGAATTTTATAAAAATTTATACCTAAAACAAAATAAAACGATTTTAACCGGTTGTAGCACTATTGATAATCGAGTATTTGTACTGAAATTTCAACAAATTGTACCAACAAAAATGTGTAATTAACGCTATGAACATTGTTTTAGTGAAAAATTTACAGTTTTATTCATTTTCATCGATATTAAAATTGCTTGACTACAATTAATTTATACCGGTTAATATTCTTCATAATCGGTTTTCAGAAGAACAAAACAAAACAGCAAAACACCCAAAAGTGTTGAAAACGAAAATTATGGCGTCGTCCAGCCAAAGCAGGCCAGTTTCGGCCGGCGAAAGTGGAGTTTCGTTCGACTCGTTTTATACCGAAGTAAAGGCGATCGAAAAACGAGACTCCGTTTTGACCTCAGCGCAACAAATCGAGCGCCTCATGCGACCCGGCTCAAGCTATTTCAACTTGAATCCGTTTGAGGTCTTGCAGGTGGACCCTGAGACTTCGCTGGACGACATCAAGAAAAAGTACAAGCGGCTGTCCATCCTGGTGCATCCAGACAAGAACCAGGATGATGCCGAGCGAGCTCAGGAGGCTTTTGAAGTCGTCAACCGATCGTGGAAGATCCTTGAAAACGAGTTGTCTAGGGCCAGGTGCATGGAGATTGTTGAAGAGGCCAAAGGACGGACAGATTTAGCCCTTGAAGAAAGAAGAAAAAAGGAGAAAAAAGACGGAAAGGTAAAATTATATAATTATACAATAAAACATTCATTTTTCTTTATTATATATCTACATTTTCATTGATTAAAAATTTTTGCCCCAGGAATTCGTTGAGCCGAGTCCAGAGGAGTACAAGCGCCAGGTGTACGTCCTGACGATGAAGCTCTTTGCAGACATGGAGCGTAAAAGACGAGACCTAGATAAGCGCGATATGGAGGAGCGAAAAAGAAAACGAGAGCAGGAAATCGAGGCTGAGGAAAAGGCCAAGACGGACAAGGAGTGGCAGCAAAACTTTGAAGAGTCTCGACAGAACCGAGTGGAGAGTTGGAAAACCTTCCAGGCTGGTGGCAAGAAGAAGAAGTCCTCGTCAGAACCCAAGAAAATGAAGTTGTTCAAGCCTCCGAAGCACAAAGCCGAATCGAGATAAAAATAACTCAACGTGCAATTTGCGATCGAATGTGCCCAAATTTGTGTCCCAGTGTGTCGTTGGTAAAAATTAATGTGAAAAAGTTGCTTTGCATCTCCTCTGAATCAAGATTTGCATAGTTTTTTTCTCATTGAAGAATTTAAATTATTTTGATGCAGAAATTAATAATATAATAATACAGCTAATCCAGGAAAGAAATTTTTAACACTGCCGAGAATTTTGTATCTTTATCAACACAGAGTGGCTTGGCTTGAGAAAGGTGCCAAGAAGGTGATTAATGTAAATATTTATTTTGTTAAAAATTAAGGTCCAAATTATTGCTTATACAAATAAATTTAAATTAAATGTAATCCACTGGATTTTTTAATCATACATATTGTCAACAATTTTAAATATTTCTTGGACTGCTGTTACTTTTGACAATTATTTTTTTTAATGCACTTTTTCCGGTGTTTTTTATATTTATTTTTTATTGCTTCTTCTCTTCTTCTTGAGTCCCTGCCAAGAGGTGCGGATTTCCGTGGGTTGGTAGCGTACGAAGACGAAGACATGCAGCATGCAAAGTTCATCACCCTCTTCATCTCGCAAGCACATTATCTTAAGAATATTATGATCAAATAGATTTCATAAAAAAACCTTTCCAGTTTAAAATAAAAATACCAAGAAAAGTCAATGCAAAATTCCACAAAAATCTGCTGTTGGCTGTTGAGCAAAACAATTATAATTTTATGCAGTGTACTAGTGCAAGTTAAACTTTGTTATGTTGGCAGCAATGCACATCGTAAACTTTTCTAATAATTAAATGGCGTCCTTTGTTTTCCCCGAAGCCTAATGAGCGTGTTTCGACCGATAGACTCTTGAAGCAGCACGATTTCGGCGCCCGCCACACCAACAAAATCGTCCTTCGGCTTGTTGTCGACAATCGGGCCGATTTATCGAGCAATAGGCGGTGAGTTTAATTGAATTGCTGCCGGCTGAAAAGGGTTCCCACGGTCCCCTCCAAGATGCGGTCATTAGTGTGGTTTTACACGAAACCGAATTCCTCTCTGTCGGCGCGGTGTCACCGGAGGTCAAGAATTTCTCTGATTTACGGTCCGAAAGAAACCCGAGAACCTCTTTGTCGGAACCATTTTCAGTCGCGTCTTCTCCGCCAGTTGACACTTTTTTCATCAAAATTTAATTTATTATTGTCTCCGATGCAGGCTTCTTTATTTGAGGAGATATGCCAACGGCATGGAAACGGAAAGCGTAGTTTCTCACGCAACAGAGCGGTCGAGCAAGTCCAGGAGTCGAAGCTCGTCATCTAAACTGAACAACAGCTCCTCGAAGCACAGCATGGGTCGCTCAAATCGGTAAGTTTCTGCTAAAAATTGAACGTTGTGTGCTGAAAAATTATTTTGACAGATCGCACCATCGTCAGGGCAGGCAGGGCGACCGCTCTGCAGACATCTACCAGTCCACTGTGACTTTAGAGGAGACCAGAGAGGGACAAGAAATAATCGAAGTTCAAATTTTACCTCAGGTAAGCGTTCTTGCCCATCAAAAATAAATTTTTGTTAAAACAAAATGTTATAAAAATCTTCAGGATGAAAACTGGGGGGAAACGCAAACACACATCACCTCTGAGCAGTCGGTCAGCGTGGAAGACTTGTCCATGCCTGGTTTCAGTGGTCGAGGTGCTTTGGAATCGTGGGACGGAGGTGACAGCGGCTCGGCCTTCCATGTTTGTCAAAAGTACATCAGCGTTTTGGCCACCGTGGCTCTTTCGTTGGCGGCCGTTCTAAGTCCATTGGCAATGACCATTTTGCCAAAAATCGGCGTCTTTGGAGAAACAACCACAACCTCTAGCAGGTAAATAGCAAATCCTAAGCCTGCCTAATAAAATTCCTAAAAAAAATATTTTGATTCCAGCAAGTTACAAGTTTGCAAAGCGGACTGCAAAGGCCAAATTCTGTCGGTGTCACTCAAGACGGCAATACTGGCCGTGGCCATCATTGTGCTTCTGCTCCGTCGCCACCGTGCCACCATGCCTCGGATTTTTGCACTGAAAGCCTTCCTGATGGCCCTGCTGCTAGTGGTGCTGGTCAGTTTCTGGATTTTCTACATGGCGTCCCTCACCCCTGGCAAGACAGAATATGCTGCCCTCGTGTCTTTTGCAAACTCGCTCGCAGACACTCTAAATTTTGTGCTCTGGTTGGCCGTTGTTTTGTTGGAGATAAGACATCTGCAGCCAATTTATTGCATCAAGGTTTGAAACTATAGTTTGTTTAAAAAAAGCAGCTTAACTTAATTTGATAAATTTCAAAGGTGGTCAGATCTCCAGATGGCGAAGCTCGTTGCTATCCTCTAGGGCAGCTGAGCATCCAGAGAGCAGCATTGTGGGTTCTCGATCAGTATTACTCAGGTTTCCCAATTTATAATCCATACCTGGAAACTATGCCTCTCTCAAAGAAGAACAATGCCAGTGAGTTTGCCTGGTTAATTTGAAAATAATATTGAAGGCTAAATCTAAATTAATTCCAGCCCAAAGTCATCAAAGTAAACCCAGGAGCCAGCACAACTCTGTCTCAGAGTACAAATACTATGATGTGGACAACTCTACCACAAATTCAATTCTGGTAGTTAATTTTCTCAAAATAATCTTTAATAATTAATCCTCCACTTACAGTCGCCAGGGTCCAGAGCTAGTGGGAGGCATCGCAGAGATTCTAGTCATAATGAGAGGTTCTACGAGCAAACTGAATACGACCGGCGTGTGAAGAAGCGCAGAGCCCGACTCGAGGTTGCCACTGAAGAGGCCTTCACTCACATAAGACGCCTTCAACCAGGTAATTTTTTATTGTTAATTAATTCAGTGAAATCTAATTTTTATTTGATAATCAGGGGCAGCAGCTAACCAGCCTTTGGACAGTGAAGAGGCAGCACAAGCGATTTTTCCATCCCTGGCTAGAGCACTTCAAAAGTATCTGAGGGTCACAAGACAGCAGCCGCAGCACTCGGTCGAGTCGATTTTGAACCACCTTTCAGCCTGCTTGAGCCACGATCTCAGCCCTAAAGCCTTTCTTGAGCCTTTCTTCACAGCAACTCCCCTCTTACATGTAATTGAAAATTTCCTGGAAATGAATAATTAACCACTTATTTTTTATTAGTTTGAAAGAGACCCTAGGAGTATCCAAGGGTGGGCCCTGATTTGTCCCGAGCTGCTCAGCAGAGACATCCGTCATGGCATCAGGTTTTTGCTGCGCCAAGGAGACGTAACCCTGAGCTGCCTGGTGACCCAATTGCCCCAGTACAACCTGGTTGAGCAGCTCATCCCAAGTGCTTCAAACCGCTTTGCCCTCCGTCTGAACTCAGAGACAAGCGTCTGAGAAAAAATTTTGTGGACTTTTATTTACAAACAGTAAGTTTTGTTCAGCACCGTAATTACCGCAGGCCATCAAATACTTAATTTCTCTACCGTACTGTGATGGTTAGTAATTTAGTTCAACAGGATTTGCCAAATGATTTTTTTTTATCTCTATTTTGAAGAATTTACTGTCTGGTTTGTTGGAACTTTCAAAGTTTGAGCCAACTTTGCTCTCTTAGCAATTATCGAGTGTGATATGAACTGAAATTTACTCATGTCTTTTTGCATGAAACTTGAATAATACTCTTCTCAAAAACACATCAGATTTTATTTTATTAGTTGCTCAATTTTTAGTTTCTTCTGAAATTCTATGTTCAAATTACGTGTAAAATAATCTTTGACAAACTTTAGTGTTTTTCACCGACTTAACTCTTTTGTAATTTATGTACAAAGATTGAGAATCTCTGAAGCAGGCTTCGCCTATTTATTGACGACAGATTTATCACAAAATTCTAAATCAAGCATTTTGACGACTGCATTTTGTAAAGTTTTTACTTTTGTACCGAAAGCCCAAACAATAATTTTGTGCTGTAACAGCTCAAACATATTCTACATTCTAGACCGTCAGGGAAATCTAGATTTTACACTGTAAAGAAGGCGATCTCTCAAGTATTGTAAAAATGTCGATTATCACTCGTGAATAAGCATTTTCGTGTTGCGTTCTAGTGTTCAATGAGTAATGTTTGAACAGAAATTTACAAGATCGAAACTATATAGGTGTATCGATGTAAGAATAATAACTAAATTATATGATTGTGCCTTTGTATAGTGTGGTGTAAGCTATTTAAATACAATAAATTTATTACAGCTAAGTATAATCATACCAAATATCATAAGAATGTTTTTCATTTAAGAAGAAAAATAAAATTTAGGTAAATAATTTAATTTTTCACTTTCACCTTTATCTTGATTTCAAATTCCAACTCAATATTTGAATATCATCATTTATTCATCGGCAATACACTCAACATGATTATTTCTATTTCTAGCCTCTTCCTGCATTAAAGTTCATGACCTTTGAATGGGAAGCAGGTGTTTTCAGCTGGAGGGGATTTGGTCGGGAGGGGATTGAGGGGAAATCGGCATGTAAACACAGGCGATAGGCGTGACTTTGCACTTTGGACGGATGGAGATATTATTTTTGCAATTCTTTCGATAATATTAAAAATAAGGACAAACGCACTGGTAATTATCAATTAATGCAAATCGTTGGCTAATTTTTATTTAAAATATCATTAAACAAACTAGCCTCTTGAAAAATATAAAAACATTATGTAATTAAAAGTAAAATTTTATTTTTCGCTACAGTAGTACATATTATAGCTTTAAATTATCAACTTTTTTTATTTTCCAACCTTTGCTCGAGTTGAAGATTAGCAAGGACAAAGATACCTTCTCATCTTGATAAATCAATCAATATAAACTCGGTCTTGAAAGAATAATTATTAAGAAATTTAGTCCAAAAACTTTGTAGATAACTCGCAAAACAAAGGCGTCTGTGCTTTGATTCATATTAGGCAACAAAACCTGGTTTGGCTTTAAAATTAAATAATTAATTAAATTGTGTGAATAATTTTTCCAATCTAAAATTATAGCAAGATGGGATCACCAAAGCCCCTTCTGGAGGATTTTCCGCCAGGGCCTTTGGATGAGTATCGAAAGCAGGCTTCTTTTGATTGGAAGAAGTTGAAAATTTTCCTTGAAGATGAGGAGCAACTTAGGTTCAAAGTATTTATTTTTCTTAACCTCTCTCCTGCTCTGCTAAATTTTTAATAATACCTTTTGTAGATGGAAGTTTGGAGCAAAATGGAAAATGATCCGCTGTTTCATCACCCACCTGTTGCACTGACAACTGAACAAACCAGGGAGCTCACTGTCAGAAGGATGTACAAACTTCGTAGCTGGGACGTGCTGCCCACTGAAAAGATTTTGGAAGACCTTAAAAAGGTACAATTTTCTATATAATAATAATAAAAAGGCATTATAAAATAATTAATTTAAATTACAGCCGTTCTCCCTGACTTACCTCCTGAGTCAGTACGACCCCTCTTTGATGGTGAAATTTGGTTTGACTTTTGGTTACTTCGAGACTGTCTTGTCAGGAATGGGGACAAAACGGCACAAGCATTTCTTAAGCGCCCTTAAGAAAAATGAGGTTTGCTCGGAATATTCATCTTTTTATTGCTTTTTATCTGAAAATATTTTGATTTCAATCAAGATTGGTGGTTGCTTTGCTCTGACTGAAATTGCTCACGGAACGAACACAAAGGGTATGCGCACTACAGCAAACTACGACCCGCAAACCAAAGAATTCATCCTGCACTCGCCCGACTTTGAGGCTGCAAAATGCTGGGTTGGAAATTTAGGTACCGAAAGAGATACAAAAAATAATTTCTAGACTAAAAAGGCGTTACTTTTAGGGAAATGCGCAACTCACGCCATCACCTATGCCAACCTCATCACTCCTGATAACAAAAACCACGGACTTCACGCTTTTATTGTTCCTATTCGAAACCCCAAAACGTTGAAGGCTTGCCCTGGCGTCATTGTTGGCGATCTGGGTGAGAAAATTGGACTGCACGGTGTGGATAACGGGTAATCTTGTCTCATTTCACCCTTTCAAAATTAAAATGAAAATTTTTTCAAAAGGTTTATGATGTTCGACCAGTACAGAATTCCCCGTGAAAATCTTTTGAACAAGACCGGCGACGTTACCGAAAATGGCCAATACCAGTCCCCTTTTTCTGACCCCAACAAACGATTTGGTAAATGACACATCTTTTTTAATAAAAATTTTACTGAGGAAATCTCAATAGGGGCATCTCTGGGTGCTCTTTCCAGTGGCAGGGTGGGAATCATTGGAATTTGTGTGGCCTACTTGTGCAAGAGCATTGTTATCTCTGTGAGGTACTCGGCTGCTCGTAGGCAGTTTGGTGATGGTGGGCAAGGAAAGGAAATGGCCGTCATTGAGTATCAATTACAGGTACAATGTTAAATTCTGCAGGAAAAAAATTTGGATCAACCTTTCTTTTGCTCTAGCAATGCCGTTTGTTCCCATATTTGGCTGCAGCCTTTGCTCTGCGAGTCTTCAACGATTACTTTTCACAAAGGTACATTGATTTTCAAATGGAGGCCATCATGGGAGGAGACAAAAACCTTATTGTAAGCTGTTTTAATTATTATTTTTAACTGATATGAAAACTATTAAATTATTCTGCATTTTTTTAAATTAATAAATGCCTTATTTTCCTCTATTTAAAAACAAAATTAGAGATTTATTGCTATTTTCAGGCTGATATGGGAATGGAAATTCATGCTGTATCCTCAGCTGGAAAGCCGCTGGCTGCTTGGACGTCTCGTGACGCAGCGCAAGAGAGCAGGGAAGCATGCGGTGGGCACGGATACTTACGAGGTATGCAAAAAAATTAATTTAATGCATGCATAAATTTATTTCGTATTTTAAGTCGCAAATTTGGGTGAGATCCGCAATGACACCGACGCCAACTGCACATACGAGGGCGAAAACAACGTCCTCCAGCAGCAGGCGGCCAACTGGGTGCTGCAGAATTGGGCCCGCAGAAGGGAGGGACCCATCAGCAGTCCCTTTGGATCAATCAACTTCCTTTCCAACTGGCAGAAAATTCTGACAAGCAAATTCCAAGCTAAATCTGTCGAGGAAGCAGTTCACCCCACAAGTATATCTCAAAAATTTGTTATTTTGAATTTTTATTTAAATTTTGACCAGATCTGCTGGCTGCCTATGAGTGGTTGATTTGCTGGCTGGCTGGGGAGACGGAGAGTTTCCTGAAGGCCTGCAAAAAAGACCCTTTTACAGCAAAGAGCGAGTCACAAATGTTCAGGGCCAAGACGCTCTCGATGGCATTTATTGAGGTTTTACTTTTTTGTGTTTGTTAAATATTTTTTATTTTATACAAAATTCTTATGTTAGTACTACGTCCTGAAAACGTTTTGGGACTGCGCCTCCACGAATAGGGAATTCCAGCCTGTTCTGACAACTCTGTGCTCTTTGTACGGTTCTTGGACGCTCGAAAAGCACCTTGCCACCCTTTACCAGGGTAAGCCTATTTATTTCATAATTCATTTTCAATTGAAACTTGATGAAAATAGGAGGGTTCGCAACCACTCCTGAAGCTGCTCGCTTCATCAGAGACGGAGTGATCATGCTCTGTGCCAGACTGAAGCCCGACGCTGTTGCTTTGGCTGATGTGATTGCACCGACGGATTTTATCCTGAACTCGGCTCTGGGCCACTCAAGTGGAAAGGTGAGATCTCTTTTCGTTATTGTTTAATTGAGTTAAAACAATTTGGTATCAGATTTACCAAAACCTGCAAGCGGCCATTCTCCAAGGGCCAAAAGTGATGGAGAGGCCTGACTGGTGGGACGTGATTGTCCAGGCTAAACTGTGATTTTCTTGCCAAATTTTATTGTGATTTTCAACTCTTCTTGTTCCAAAATGGTGATACGTTTTTTTTTTAGAGAAAATATATTTTTACATTTTTAATGGAAAATTCAAATTGCGTTTTGCTCAATAATTAAAATATTACAGGGTTTTAAAATTATACTTTTGTTGCAAAATTATTATTTTTATTTTTTTACGCTACACTTGGTTAGCAACTATTTCCAAAGATACAACAGCGGTGTTTGCACGCCCTTCGAAAACGGATATAGCATTGTTCAACTTCAAGCGGGCTGCGTCTTCTTGGGCAAGAATATTATCCAGAATATCCAGTATCTCACCCACAAGGGGTTGGCTCTAGAAAACGAAGGAATTAATTAAAATTACGCTTTTTTTCAAATACAAATTTACTTGTTCAGCTATAATTCCAACAACCTCGGCACTAAGGAAGTTGACATAGGTGGTCAAATTGTTATCGACAGCAACAGTGATGGACAACGTGGTGCCTGTGTCTTTGCGGAGAGACACCAAGTTATCAGGGATGGCCACCAGGTTGACCAGGAGGTTCTCTTCATAGGTGTGCACTCTTTCCTCATAGCCCTGGAAGGTGTTGAGCTGGAGTTGCAGAAGGTTGTTGGCGCTCACGCTCGTTTGGTTCATGTCAGCGTTGAATTTGTCAATGATAGCTTGGTCAATCTAGATGTAAAATTAAATTCCAGTTGTTTCAACAAAATGAAATGTAAACAAAAGGAAACTATCATATTTACATTTTTGTTAATTTAATATCATTTTATAGAAAATTTATATTAAAGTACCTTATAAACTTGCTTACCCCAAGATCTGAAAATTTTCCAGAAATTTGACCAACTTGAGTTTTAAACTCGTTGTTTATCAGAGACTTGATGTCATTTGTCCGGAAAAAACAGCTCGAACTGCTGGCACTGAGCAGCAGCAGGTCAGAGTGCGCGACTTCAACGTCAAGCGCTAAATCTTTGCCACCAGAACATCTTACAGGCTTGTAATAGATTATTGTGTTTAAATTATTTGGAATTATTTAAAAATTAATAAAATTAATTATTGATTTTACCTCAAGCTGCGTTACCAGAGCAACACAAAAAGCCACGAGTGCGATTTTGTTCATTGCGAAAATATAAATGTTTATCAAGCTGTTTGTAAACGACTGCACCATAAGAGTCAGGTTTGAAGAGGGTCGTTGTGAATATCTTTTAATTTTTATCTAGAAAAAATGATATCTTAACAAAGTCAGGTGTGTTTTTCATATTTTTGATTAGTGATAAAAAAATACTTTCAAGGACACTCTTCCACTTAAAAAATATTGTATTTTTTATTTGGATGATTGTTGTTCAGAAAAGTAAGGAAATAAATGAACAGAAGTTAAAAATATAGTATTCAATAATGATTGACCGCGGATTGGCCTAAATTTTGGCTCACAATGCCATTCTGTAATCGAAGTATGATGTTGCATTGTGTTGAGTCCTTTGACTAAAGTTTATGAAATCGAAATTTTCAGATTTTTTTGTTCAAGTTTCTTTAAAAAGTCAAAATTCAAATATCCGTGCCTCTAGTGGGAAATTGGAAATTTGATGTGCTCTCTTCACGTCTTAATGTAACTTTTTATTCTTAACAATTTTTCTATTGACCATTTTTTGTGTAGGTCAAATAAGATTCAAATTAAATTTGAAGCCGATTTTTCTCAAAAAAAGTAAATTATTATTTTTTTTTCAAACAAAAAATATAGCTCCTGAAATTCTGCTTCTGGTGAGTGATTTTTCTAGTTTTTCTGCAATTCTTAGCTGAAAAACATTTTTTTTTGCTCGTCATCAATGTTCGTGAACAGCCTTGGCTCAAATTTCAGAAGAAAAAAATCACAGTTACTAATTTAATAATTTTTTATTGACCGAGAAGAATAAATAATAATAATAATCATGCACGCCTAACTAATGGATAATGTAATTTTGCTCATCTGCGCGCCTTAGTAATATTTTGAGACAACCCGCTCAACATGTGCGTCGAGCAGGCTGCCTAACTTTAGCCACCAACCGCTCGTGTTGGCCAATGAAACTAAAAGGCTTAGTCACGTGGTTTTGTTTTGATCTCACTGTTCATTTGTTGGAACCACTCGAAACCTTAAAGAAGCCAAGTCTGTATGGTCTGTATCTTATTTTTTCACTGTAACAACATTAAGAAATTATGTTATGATTTGCAGAGTTTTTCATAAATAAGAAAATCTGCAGACGCGACCATGACGGAGGTGATCGACTCAAAAGCCGACTCTGTGTCCAGCCGACTGCTGGCTGGCCTGTTCGCCCAGAGACGCACCGGCAAGTTTTGCGATGTGAAAATTCACATCGGCAACACCTGTCTGTGGGCGCACTCTTGCGTCCTCAGCACCTTCAGCTCGAGGCTGTACGACGCCTTCGTCAACCTGGACAGCGACGGCCGCAAACAAAACCGTAAACACCTGAATCTCTACAAAAACTGGTCGCTCAACAAACCGCTGGAAATTTTCCTGTCCGACTTTGGTGCCGAAGAGGGCGAGGAGTGTCTGAAGTGCGTCGACAAGGTTGTTGACTTTTTGTACAACGGCCGCATCGCCATCGACCACGTGGACCACATCGGACACGTCGAGAGACTCGGCAAGTTGCTCCAGATCAACGAGTTGGACGAGGTGTGCCAGGAGGCCAGAATGAAACTGAAAGAAGATGTGCCGGAGGAAGAGACGGAATTACTGATTGACCGAGATAAAGAGAAATGCAGAAAAACACAGCTTGCTGGAGGAAAACCGTACAGTTGTTTGGCCTGTGGCTCCAAGCAGAGGACGGTTGCTGCCCTTTTGCAGCACCTTCGAGAGCCGTCGCACGAAAACACCAGTCTTGACTGTTCCCTTTGCCTTAGGTTTGCAAAGCTAATAAATAATAATTTAAATTGTATCAAAAATTCAATATATTATAACATTTAGACAAAAAGATGAAATTAAAAGTGGAAAATTTTTAATAAACATTTTCTATTTTGTTTAATCAGGTACACTGCAAAGTCCGAGTCTGACCTGAGGTTGCACCTGGCTCTGCACGATCACTCGCTGCCCTTTTTCTGCGCCAGTTGCGACGCCCGTTTTCGAACTCGCACGGCGCTTTCCTCGCACGAGCCGCGCCACTCGACCCAGACACCGTTCCTCTGCGGAAAGTGCGGCAAAGGCTTCAAGTGGAAACACGCGCTCATCAACCACGAGTTGGTGCACTCGGACGAGAAGAGGCACTTGTGTGACACGTGCGGCTTCTCGACGGCTCACGTCAGCACCTTCAGGGCGCACAAGATGGTGCACGCGGGCGTCTGCTTCAAGTGTCCGGTGGCCGACTGCCAGTTCGTGGCCACCAGGAAGCAATCGCTCATGCAGCACATCCCCACACACACCAACCAGAAACAGTACCAATGCGAGGTTACTAAACTTTTCCTCGTGGAGAATAATTATTAATTTTATTAAATTTATAATTTCAGATTTGCGGTCAAAGTTTCACGATGCACAAGAACCTTCGTCGTCATGCTGCCAAACACGAGCCTTCGCCAGAGGGTCTGACGTGTTGTCCTGTGCCCGGGTGTCTCTACTCAAACACCCGCCTGGACAAAATCAAAGCTCATGCTGAGAGACACAAGTCTGGCAAACCTGTGCGCAACTCCCTCATTCCTCGAGTGCGCCAGTCGAAGATAAAAAAACAAAACACTCCTGTTCCGTCGTTCCTCAAAAGTGCTGCGGAGCCGGTGGCCGAAAAAAACTTTGTGGTTGTGATTCCAATGGAAGTTGCTCCCTTGGTGGACGATTTGAGGAGTCATGATATTGAAATTTCTGCAGTATCCGAGTAATTGGCTGCATTTTATTGTTCAAAATAAATTCACAGAATGTCCAAAAGTAACATTGGTCAAGTCTCTAAACAAATCATTGAATGTTTGCATACATAGTCGGTCATAAAAAATTATAAAAATGAGATTTTCTAATTAAATCTATTACATCAGATGCGGGCCTTCGTCAGGGCTTACCACCTCCAACCACGCCTGGATCAGTCTTGTCAGTTTATCTGATGAGATTTTCTCATTAATTTAATAATATCTTTTATCACGCAAAAATTACCAGTCCACTTTTCCAGAAAGGGGAACTTGTTTTGTCCAACGATGCAAATGTAGTACACCGGAACGCCAGTCAGCGTTATCAACACTCCGATGGCTGCAGATTATTTCCAATTAACTTACAATTCCTCTACCTAATTCAAGTATTAATTACCAGAGTCCAGCGGCTGATTGTAAGCAGGTACTATCACAAGCAAAGTGCAGGCGCAGAGAAAGATTATGGGCAGCCACAGGGGCAGGCGAATGGGTCGTGGGAGTTCAGGGCGTGTTCGGCGCATGATGAGCATGCCGAGGACGCAGGCACCAACTGTCGCCCACAGAATGAAGCTGAAGTAGTTGATCAGGCCGAAAATGTCGGCAGACAACAACATCACAAGAGACATTCCACACTAGAGACATAATTAAAAGTTTAGACAGTGAAACGCAACAAGTAAAACAAAATTATTTAATTTAAACTCCCAATAAAAACCCAACTGTGTAGGGAATTTAGCTAAGTTTTGAAGTTCTCGTTTTAAATTATTAATTTTTCATCGATATTTTTATTTTGAAATAAATTGTAAAATTGATAAATAAGCAAAATTTAGTAAAATTCTATTCAATGCTTACTGTGAACAAAAGAGACGGCACAGGCGTTGACCTTTTGATGTGAATGTAGGAGAAGAAGGCTGGCAACTGCTCCTCTTTAGCACCTGCGAGAAACAAGCGGCCCGAAGTGAAGAGGATGCCGTTCACGCCGCCAAAAGTCGAGAGCGCCACGAAAACCGGCACCGTCCAAGCGAGGGGGCCAAAAAGTTTGTTTCCAAAAGTCTGCAATTTTCACAGAATCGTAACTGAAACGGAAGTAAAATGCAGTAAAAATTCTTACGACAGCAACTGCAGGGGACGAGAGCATCTCGTCCGGTGACACGGCCGCCAAATAGGCCAGGTTTGCCAAAACGTAGACCAGGGTGACAATCGGCATGGCAATCCATATCGCCCTTGGCAGATTCCTTGAAAGAAAAAATGAATCAATGTTAGAGTACAAAATTCAAATGAATGTGGATATTAATAGAATTAAAATTTTATTTTGAGACTGCAATAAATCAAATAACTAATGTTTTTTATTGGTATTTCATAATTTTATAAAAAAAAAAACGTGATCAATTAATAATCAATTGATGCTGCAAATGATGCGATAGTTAAGAAGTCAAAAAGCGGTGTCACGCCAGTGATGTATGCTTTGAGCGATCGAGCTATTAAGATGAGATAAATGCTGAGAGGTCAATTGGACAGGTTATTGTTTCTTGTTTCAGCAGCGCCCTTTTCTGCTCAAACGAGACGAACGTGATCTACAGACGAACCCGAGAAAATAAACTAAGGCAATTTGAAACTTTGGTGTGTGTGAGGTTCCAGGCGTTCCAGCAATAGCTCCCCTTTCTGGCCTCTCAAACCATAAATCTCCTGCTCAAGTGATTCGACACTGATGCTGCCTAGGACTTTTCATTAAATTATCGAAAGATGTCTGAAATTCCAGTTCAACAATGAGACAAGGTCTCATTGTAAGTAGCGAATAAAGGCAGATATTTGCTCCAAAAATCTCCCAAAATACTAGAATAAGCATTATTTTATAATTTTGGAGAAGTATCAACTTGGGAAAATGTATTGTCTTTGCGCCTCTTTTTGTTGCACAAGACAAACTGATCTAAATACAAGCACGTGAGCCAATGAAATGGTAGCAAATTTATCAATAAAAAAAATATTTTTATCTATTACTTTTGAGTCGTAAAATTAAATTCTAAAAATTCCTACTAATGAATTTGCAGAGAGGAATGTGAAAGGAGCCAAGAAAGGCGAAATGTTGAATTTGCCACGCGGATATAATAGTTATAACAATAAGGTCTGCCTAATCAACCTGCACGGAGATGAAGTTTCAGTAGTAAAAATAAAAATTGTTTTTTTTTATCAGAGAGATTATTTGGAAAATTTTCAAGCGTGTTGAGAAAATAATTTTTGCTTACTTCTCACTCGAGAAAAATTGTATTGCTTTTTTGTTTCTAGACATGTCCTGAGGCGTGTGTTGTAAGCTGGTTGCCGATCAAAAAAAAGAAAAGACCAAAAAGATAATGAAATGAGCAAAGAATGCGCAGCATTTGCCTCAAAGACACCAGCAGCAAAAGTTTGGTTCAGGTTTCATATTGCTACAGTTTCAATCAGGTTTAATTCAGTTCATTTATTTAACTTTTATTTTAGAAAAAAATAATAATTTTCTATGTCAATTGAATTAATGTGTGATGATTAAAAACAAAAACGATATTTAAAATTACATTAAAAAAAACAAACCTGTCTCAGGAAACTTGTCATGATTGTTAGAAAAGAACATTTTTCTAGTCACACATAAAAATTATTTCTGAAACATTGTGAGTCTGAAACAAAACGTGGTCCAACTTTTATGCAACTAAAAGGACAATGGTCAATGATTGCATATTCATTGCAAAACGTTATGGAATCTGGCACAACAAGTGCACAGCGGCGCGACGGGTGGCAATCAATCTGCTTTTCACCCACTTGTCGGCTCTCTCGCTACCCATCCCTGGAAGAGATAGATGCGTTCCTCTTTTTTCGACATTGGCGCTGCCGACCGCTTTTTGTGTTTGCGCAGCAGAGGGAAAATCAGCAGAAAAGCTTTGACGTCACCCCTGGGAAAGGCTCTTAACACAAAAGGTCCATTTAGACCGACGGTTTGATTTTCTGGAGCATCAGGGAGGGTAAAGTATAGAACGCCTAATGAAACGCCCGACGTTAATAAAACATGTAGCTGCTGCTGGGAGAGAAGAAATTGAATTTCACATCCAGCAGCAGCAGCAGCGCAAGAGTCACTCCGTGGAATTAGATTTCGTCGACGTTCAGCAAACTTTGAATCCTACATTTCAACCTTTGCTTGATTATGATTAATATGTATTTCAAACTTCATTATATTCACCAGACTAAAATACAAACATAAAAAAACGTTGGTTCCAAATGATTTTTTTTTATACATTTTTGTCCCGAGTGAAAAAGACGCTGATGAAAATTAAAGAGGGCTTACTTGTATGGGTTTTGCAGCTCGTCTGTGACGAAATTGAGGTAATTCCAGCCGCCGAAAGCGAAGAGACCCGAGTAGAAGGCGAGGGTGATAGACTTTGCGTCATAGCGCCCTTCAAACGGCTTCTCTAAATATTCAGTGTGTCCTGTGGATACAATTCAGTTTTCTTCAGAATTCAAAATTAATAAAAAAAATTGAAATTTGTGTTTCTTTTTGTATTTTAATCATTTATTTAGAAAGTGCATCAAATAATCTCCTAAAATTCCAAATGCAAAAAAAAATGTGATCTTTCTGATCTTTTAAAGTTTGTTGATTGAACTTGGGATTCGCGCTTTATTGATTTAACCATGAAATGAGAATCTTGCTTAAAAAATTTCATGCGGGCCCACGGTGGAAAAAAGTTATTCAATTGCGCCGGGTGATGATCATGCTGCACATGTCACTTTCAATTAGTATTCCAGACACTAACTCGTCTTGGGCCGCCGCAGCTTAATTGAATATTCCCATTTCCAATGTGTTACTCGTCTCGACGCTCCACACGTCTTTAATTGAATTTTTTTTTTATCAATCGTAGTCGTTTAATAATAAAAATGAAATTTTTGATACATAAAATTAATATGGTTTTAAATATGCTTGAAAACACAAAGTTTTTATTGTCTAAATGTAAAGTGAAATAAACTAGAAATTCCAGTGGTTTAAGTTTCCTAGCGTGAATATATAAAAAAGCACATCCGCCACACCTTTGTTTAGTCCATACACGGAGTGTGGTTGTTTTTCAAATAAAGCCAGGAGAAGGGAACACCGCATAATGAAAGGTAAACCGATCCCTTCAGAGGAAAAATTCGACAGTTTCGTGCATTTTAATATTTTGCTGCTGCTGCACGCTAAGGAGAAAACCAGAGAAACCAGATCTATCAATGCAGATTTGGAAATTGATACTTTTAGCATCCTTTTTTTCGCGCCCAGATATTGGCCAAAAACAATCAGCTTCGGGTTTCTTGCACGAATGGAAGCAAAATGCATGAAACATGGGAGGAAAAAAAATTGGCTCACCACTTAGTAGGTGGACGAGACCTGCGATGATGATGGCCGCCAGGGCTACCAGTTTGGCGGTGGTGAAGACGCTTTGAACGCGCATTGCCCAGCGCACGCTCAGGCAGTTCACAGCCGTCAACAAACCTGTGGAGCAGAAAAAAAGCGATTCATTAATTTGAAGTGAAAAAAAGAAGACTTTTTCAACACACCAACTAAATTAACTCATGGGTTAGAGAAATATTTGTTTAATTCCATGTTTCTTGTTGCCAAATTTTATTTGCCAGCACTAGCAGGCTCGACAGTAATTATCAAAAACAAGAAGGGTCAAAGGTTACTCACAAAGGCAGGCAGCTGCGAGGAGGCGGACCGCATTTTCGGGCGGTGCGCAAGTTGTGAAGAAGGGCTTGGCCGCGTATTGTGCAAACGTCAGAGCCACGATGGCCTGCGTCGTTGGGCGAATAACCAGAAGGGCGCACCAGAGTCTGAAAATTTTAAATTTCAGTGGGATTAAAACATTATTCATATGAATTTTAGTTTCTAATCGCTATTAATTTTTGTTGATTTGAATTTAAAATCGGCTATCCATTGATGGACTTTGTGAGTTGTTTATTGTTTATGAAAAAACAATATCCTGCTTTAATGTTTCAGCTGCAGCCATAATTCATGAGCTGTAATAAGGCCATAATTAGTACAAAAATCAATCTTTAAAAATAAAAAAATTCCCTCAAATTAACAATAATTTTGTGAAAAATTAAAAATTATTTAAATTTTGAATTTATATAATTAAGGATATTGTTTTTTCTTAAACAATAAACAACTCAGAAATCCATCGAGTAAAAGCCGATTATAAACTAAAATCACCACGAATAAACCCTCAATTGTGAAATCCTTCCACAAAATTTAATTTTTATTCAAAAGTATGACTAAAAATTGTAAAAATTAATATCTGCTCATTTCTTTTTTCTTTTTAATTACCGGAGGAAAGCTGGCAGAGGTCCGAACGCCTCGAGAATGTAGGCATAGTCACCCCCAGACCTGCTGATGGTGGTGCCCAATTCAGCATAGCAAAGAGCACCGAGCATGGAAAAAAGGCCACTGCCGAGCCAGACGAGCAATGAGCCTCCCGCGCTGTGCGTCGCCTGGTAGACGCCGGCTGGCGACACAAAGATCCCTGAACCCACAATAGTGCCTGCGAAAGAGTATTTTTTTTGCCAAATTTTACAAAAAAATCTCAGACTTCAACCAGATTAAATAAGTCGCAAAAAAGGGAAGCTAAAATATATATACTTGATAATTAATCCAACTCTTCAAAGAAAAAGATTAAAATGATGAAGCAATTCACTAAAATAAGCAATTTCACCGTGCAATGGTGTTGTTTTAAATTGCACTCTCATTTTTTAATCTAATCTCGAACCAGAGGATTAATTGTAAGTTCGCAAGTAAAATCACAAATGAACTCTGTCGCTTCTATAATTGAGATCAATTGCGCGCGTCCTAGATGCCGCGTGAAGAGAAAGTTGGGTTGACAAAAAATTGCAAGTGCAAAAAAACGCTCACCCACGATGATGGCGACTCCATTGAAAAGGGTGATCTTCCTTTTCAGGTGCACCGAGTCTGGGTTGTTGGCCGCGTCGCTTTTGTCTTCGCCTTTCGCGGCAACGACCTCCAACTCGCTTTTCTCCGGGACCATTCTGTCTGCAACAAAATTTACATTTTCTTAATATGATAGCGAAATTAAAATTTTCTTCTATAACTTTTTTTCGTAAAATTAATTTGTCTGAGCAAACTAGCTTGATTGAAAGACCCTCCACCCTTTAATGAACGCATTCGCAATTCGCACGGTAACGACTGAGGATGGTGTTTATTTTTCAACCTTTGCACAAAACGTTTTTTGGTCAATGCAGAAAAAAAGTTGTTCTTTTTGACAAAACCAGGTGTGTCACGTGTGTTAACACTTGACACGCTGCCTGCTCGTGGCTGTTTCGCGCAATCAAAATAAAACAAGTTTCTTTTGCGCATAATAATTAATAGAGAGAACGAAAAAAAAATTACAATTAAGCCCACCTGTCTCTCGTCTCTTTTGGCAGGGAAAATTCTAAGACGTCTGTGTCGGCTGCACACACACTATACCTTTTTACAAGGCATAAGACATATAAGAGCACACGCGCGAGAGAGCAGCGAGTGAACCGACCGGTCCGCGGTGGAACTGCGGCTTCGAGCCCAAGAGACGCACGCATTCATGGGAAGGAGTTTTTGGAGAGGGGTGCGCTCTGCAAGACACACACGCGAGACCACAGCAGATGCACCAGCGAGGAATATTTTATTGACTCTCACGATAAAGTCACACACATGTGATGCCATAAAAACTAAAATAATCCACATTTTGCTATTGTATAGAACTAGAAATTACTACTTAAAAGGCAATCAAATAATACAAGATTATCAATTAGGAATTATTTTTATTAAATTTTAAACAATAAAAATTAATTACATTTTATAAAATTAACAAATAAATTAAAATTTGTCATTAAAACACTTATTTATGAATTTTGTTTAAAATAATTAATTTTAATTTAATTGTCAATTTTTAAAATTCATGTATGTTCATTTTTATTGTTGAAAAATTTGACAAAAACAATCTTTTCCCTAGAATTTTTTATTTTGAAAATGTTTTTCTAGAGGAAAAAATTGTAAAAATCGAATATTGTAGTTTATGCTACTTCATGATTATTTGAGGGATGCACGCCCCTGCGTAGACGCGAGTGGCGTATATTTGCCCTATATTGATGCCCGCTGGCGTGTTGCCGGTGGGCTACCCTTGCGCCTGAAAAGTGCAAAACTCACCCTGTTCACGGCTCACCCGTGGGTGGCCCTTTCTGCGCAGGAAAAGGTTTCTTGCCCGGCGTTTTTCCTCCTCATCCGCTTCAAAACAAACAACACATGACGAGAGGCGGAACAAAACGTGGTGCTGCGATGGCAGTGCTGGCAAGCAACGAAGCAACCCTTTTACTGCTGGCCGCACTTGAACGCATGCGTTTCCGCGTTTTCGGCGGGGGAAAGCCTTTGATAAGAGGCGCCATATCCGCAACACGTGCTCCCTATTGCGTTCCACATACTTCAATAAATTATAAAAAATATTAATAGAGTTGTACAAGTTATTTTAGTTGTAATTATTAATGAAATTTATTGATTGGTAATTCACTAGGCCACGATTAGGAGGAATGCAAAGAAAAAATTCCGCCAATATGAATGTAAAATAATCAAAATGATAGAGAAAACTCTAAACGCAAATTTTCCTATGGTTTTTGCAAAATGAGGCGAGAAATTCAGAGAATTAATAAAAATCCTTTAATAATCAATTGAGCATTTGAATACAATTAGTGGATTAGGAAAGGATTTTAAACAAAACTAAATTTGTATTTTAATAGAAGACTATAAAATCAACTTATGCTATGCTAATTATTACTCAGAGGCTCTGTGCATAATTAAATGAGATTATTTTTAAATCAAATACTTCTGCTATTTTTTAATTTGTTGCCTTTACCTTGGCTACACTAAATTTTTTGATAAATAATTTTTTCTTCCCTTTTTTTTAAGCTTAATAAATAAATTTTGTCTCCTTTTATGAAAAATTGTAAATTCCGTTTATTTATTATTATTTTATTTTAGAAGAGCGCATTTCCTTTCCAAATAAAACCCTCACAGCTGAGGGACAAAAAAGTGACCCCCCGCAAATCCACGGTCCTCCTCGCTTGAGGTTAATTTGGCTCGTACGCAATCCCAGATTAGCCGAGCTCCGTTGAGCACCAAAGAAAGCTGCAGATCCTGCTTTGAAAACAGTGCAAAATTTCCAGAGCGCAAAATGAGTCGCAGGGAATTTTGCGAGCGGCAAACCAGAGTAGCCGCGAGTTCTGCACTGAAATTCAGCGCGTTTTGTTTTCGAGCTGCTGGCGGGCGCTAGAAGAAAGAAGAAGTATCAAGCGAGAGGGCGATGCGACCACCACGACGACGCTCTATTTAAAAACTGGCGATTTTGCAATTGTGTCAAAATGTTTTGCTCAACCGACGTCTAATGTGAGTACCTGCTGCGGACGATTGGCGCCGATTCTGGTTCGCGAAAGAGTGCAAATTTTTCGGCGCGACCCTTTCGCGCTGACCTCGCGTCCCGTTGCCGCACTCGACACTTACATGACCCGAAGAACTTTGTTCTGATTGCGAAGCAAAGCGCCATTTTGCCTTTCCCGAAGCGGGGTGATTAAGTGAAAATCCACCCACTGGCATCTTTTCACCGCAATTCTCGCGACCTCCGGTCTTTTGTCGAGAGCCGCGCAGCTCGATTCTGCAAGGTGGCGCAAACGTCTGGTTCGCGTTGTCCTTTTCCGGAGGAAAACATCGACTGTCATGGTCCATGTAAGAAAGACAAAGAAACTCAAGGTAAGCTGCCTGCAAAGATGGCTTTGGGGATAATTTCGCAATCATGTTTGTTCCGAATTGAAAATTGCTCCGGAAAACCCAAAATTTAAACTTTTTCGCTCCAGAATCGCCAGCAGACTTTTATTTCATGTTTCTGGAATTAAAGGCCGAATTCCAAAATGACTCAAAATCATTTTTCAGACGGCGTCTCCAAAAAAGGCGTTCAAATTGCAGAAAAGAGACCAACGGTCTGAACGGTCGCGCAAGCAGACGCCTCCGGTCAAGATGCCCTCGGACAGGGTTCTCCGAGCCAGAAAGGCCAACAGGTTTTTTTTGCCAATTTTTCTTTTGGTCAAATAAAGAGATTTTGGTGCAGTTCCATCTGTCGCCATCTGCTTATGGGATTCGTGGGCCGCCCTCCTAAGAGACTTTTCACCCCGGAAATCAAGAGGAAGTTGAAGGATTGGCTCGTGAAAAGGAGACGCAACCCCTATCCGACCAGGGAGGAAAAACAGGCGCTGGCCAAAGAGACTGGATTAGAATATAGCCAAGTATGGGTTACATCATATGGCGTTATAATAATTGCCAGGCAAAAAATTATTAAAATATCCCAATTATTAGCATATTTTTTTTAGTTACATTTTTTCCACAGATTTGCAACTGGTTTGCTAATTGGCGCAGGAAACTGAAAAACGCAGAGGCAGCTGAGGATCCCGCCGAGTCCGACATTTCAATGGACTCGGAGCCAAGGGTCACGTCCTCGTGGGGTCGCAGAATTCTCATTTACAATAATGTGGCTGCGCGAAACGCCGAGAAAATTCCAATTGATTGCCAAACGGTGCTTTTGGAGGACAGTGACCAGGAGATGGAACTTTCCTGCAGCCGACTTACAAACTACAGCGGTAATAATTTGTGTAATGTTGGAATTTGAAGATTTGAATTAATTTTATAAAAGCAAATTGTATATAAATATATGATTTAAATAATAGAATTTCAAATTGGCAAAGCTGTCATTAAAATAATTTTTTTTATGTATGATTTTTCAAGATTCTTACAATCCAACTGTGATTGACCACTGCTATTCAATGGCACCGCTCCTGGTCAACGAGCTGGACAAAAACGGCAACTACTGCAGCAACAGTGCAAGAGATTGGATTTGGAGTGCTGGAGACGTGAAGAGATCTGATTGGCACCGCAAAAGCAACAGTGGTAACATAAATATTTCTATAAAAATATATTTAAATCTTTATACTAAAACCAGATACTGAAATGGAGGACGCAGACACTCCTCATCGGGAGGCAGAAATCGAGGCGGCCGTCGTTTTGGCTACGCTGGGAACGGCCTAGTTTTGAATGGCGTCGGGAGTTCAAGACATGATTTGAATACTTTCAAGGCTGATTTTACTAGAAATTGTATTTTTCGAACGCAAAAATCTACACCAGATTTTCTATTTTTTCGGAAAAATTTCACCTCCCTTAGATATAGACGTGTGCTAGCGAGTAGAAAAATGTTCAAATAAAGAGAATTCGTAATTTATACCAGCGTTTATGTCTTCCACTAATCACAGAGCAGGGGTGTCTATACGGATTTGAGCTGCTCGATCCTCGACTCCAAATTGGAAACCAAAGTTTGTTGATGCGTGTTCAGGTTAGATACAAGGGTGCTTCCGGCACTGTTCAGAACTGACACCAGCTGTGCTCTGGCTGTAGTCAGGTCAGGCAGGGCGGCGAACCTTTCCAGCTGGGCCACCGTCATAAATCGGTTCTCAACAATTCCAGCTAGTTACAGGATTACTTTAATTTAGAAAGATTTTAAATTTAAAATACTACCGAGCAAAATGTGATGGCGAATCTTCTTCCTGAGCTTCATAAATGTTGCGACTGCTGTGGGACTTTCAGCAAAAGCTATCGAGTTGTGATAGACGAGTAGCGGCAAAAGTACTTCGTACTTGGTATCCTTAAAAGCTCTAGTTGCTACTTGCTTGCCAATTTTTTCAATGTGGATGCCTTTACGCTTCAGAATGGCAAATTCCTAAAGAAATAAACTCAAATTAATATGGAGAATTTTGCAAGAGAATTTATTTGTTACTTTGTATCTGGTTTCTCCGTCCATGCTAATTTCTTGGAATAAGGCAACAAATTCCGACTTTTCTACCCAATTCATCAATTCCTTGGCTAGTATTCTTTCGTATGGGTTGTCCTGAAAACAAAAAGTGAAGAACATTATGAAGGAATCGCAATTTGTTTAAACAAACTATTTGATCCTCCTCCCCGCGTCCGTCCAAATTTTTTTGACAAATTTCTGCAACGGTTGGAGGCGGTCTGGGGTAAATTGGCTTTGTGAATTCGAGCATGATCAACTTCTGTGGGTGCGGAGGAGCCGGATTCTGAATGTTAATCTTCGCTTTGAACCGAACAAACTGCACTCTGGGCGTCCAAGGCAAAAGCATGGCTGGAAATCGGAAGAAATACAAAACTTACACTGCAAAAATGGTTTGAAAATTAATTATGAACCTCTTTTCAAAATATTCGACGTCATTTTCCTTGTACGAGTTTCTCAAATGTACAATAAAAAATGAAAAATTTCACTTCAAACTAAACTTTGTTCTGCTCAATGCTCAATCCGAGGGGGCGTGGCGCGTGGTCCATTGTCCATTGTCTGGCTTTTAGCGCCACCGTGGTCAAATGTTCAAACTCGGTGACACGCGGGTTGTTTAAAAATTCGTACCCTTCGTCAGGCGCAAAAGTTTTATCTCAAGTTTTAATCTCTCTATTTACATTGAAATGCGCGTATTTGCGCCACGCGCGCTGACGTGTTGTCCGCAATAGCCTAAGACAATGAGTATTCATTTGAAGAGGCGTCAAAAGAAGGTGAGAGCCAGTGTAATTCGCAGGCAGAAGGACGTCCTTCGGCCCGTCAATTTTGTTTATGTGTCAAACTCTGCATCAAAGTTCATTCATCGTGTGTCGTGCATGAGATTATATGATTTCCTGTGACCCCATCTTCGTCACATTTCAACATATATTGAATTTCATTATAATTTTCCTCACCAGGTCTTCCCCCTCTACTGAAAGGCAGCCTGGAAAATAATGCTCCTTGAAAGCAGCTTTTTGTAAAATTCGGCCGGAAGTTTTGATCACAATAAAGTAAAACTGGAAGACGCAATGGACGACGCTCTGGGCGAGGAGCTCGGTGCCGCCGACGAATACACGCTGACCACCTTCTTGTCATGGGCCTCCTCTTTGGCAATGATATTTGGCGGAGTGGTTCCGTACATCCCTCAGTACGCTGAAATCAGACGGACTGAAAACGCCGAGGGTTTCTCTTTGTATGTCTGTTTTGCGCTGCTCATTGCCAATACTCTCAGGATTTTATTCTGGTACGCTTAAATTATTCGTACATGGTTTGTAATAAAATTCCCCTCTTGCAGGTTCGGCCGAGGGTTTGAGCTTCCACTTCTAATTCAGAGCGTAATCATGAATATTGCCATGCTGGCCATGATCAAGTTGTGTGTGGATGTTAAAAACAAAACCCTTATCACCAAAGTGTCTAAAGACAGGCATTTTACAGGTAAAATAACACCCATGAGTGCCCTTTGCTCAACATAAAATAATATGCTCGGGTTTTATAATTTTGCACTCGAAATTTTTAAGATGAATTCCGACAAAATTGGTGAATGTTCTGCAGAAAAATCCCTTTTTGCATTGTTTTTACGTTGTTTTGTTTTTTATATTGATGGTTTTTATTCTTCTTACATATTCTGTGCTGTCTAAACCTTCTTTCGCCCAGCCGGAGCTTCTAATTTGGTGCACCACACTTTGCGTGGTACGTGGAGCTCACTTTTATATTTTCACAAAAAGAAAAACTAAAAAGTAAAAGTACACAACTCTCCATCTTTTAGACCAACGCATATAAAACGATTTTAATTTCTCACACAATCTCATAGTGTATTGCACACGTATGTATTATCCATTCACATTGTTGGTAGCATAATATTTTGTGCACTTAGTATGTTCTATTTTTTTCCCTTTTTGCTGGCAGACAATCTTGTGTTTTATTGCATAGAAGCAGCCACTTTAATTTAGAACTAATTTCTGTTACCAATTTTTTTCCGATTATTAGTGCTTCTTATTGTCTGAAAATGTAGGTTAATGGATTTGTAATTAAATCAACTAAAATTGTCTCCCTTCACAAAGATTTTGACCTGAACTTCTTTTGGCAATGGACCGACTTCCAATCATACCTCGAGTGCATGCTCTTCGTGGCAGCCGTCGGGAGCGCTTCCCTCTATATTTTCTCTCCGTCTTACTGGTTCGTCGAAGGACTGGGACTCTTTGCCGTCCTCTCTGAATCCCTGCTCGGCGTGCCGCAATTGTTGCGAAATTTCAAGCAAAAGTCCACAGAGGGAATGAGGTGCAATACTTGAATAACAAAGTATTTGATTTTGAATTAATTGTTCCGTTTATAGCGTGAAAATGGTGCTGATGTGGACAAGCGGTGATACATTCAAGACTTGCTACTTCATTGTTAAAAAAGTTCCAAAGCAATTTCCCGCTGGAGCGATCATGCAGGTGATCGTTGATATTTTGATAATGGGGCAAGTGTATTTTTATCGAGGGAAAGCGCGGCACGCTGTTCGTCAAGAATGAGCGCAATCAAAAACTTTATTTCTATGGGATGATTATGTGACAAAATGCGTGATTTTTGTGTGTAAAATTGTAAATTTACACTCACTTTTGAGGTTTTTAACTTAAAATTACTTTTTTTTCAATCAATAAATTTGTAAATATTTTCTTTACTACTTGCTGACATTTGATTAATTTTCTATAATGTTAAATAAACATGGAATATGAAAAATTATTCCAAACCTGACTTATATGTATGATATTGCACATTTTTTTTAAAAATCAAATCCAAGCAATTTTTATTGTCTCTGGCTGTGAGAAAAGCACCCTTACAATATCCAGCAGCATAATCGGCTTTAGGAAAAAGGTATGAAGGCGGATTGCTGTACTGAATATTATGTATGCGTGTTGGCGTGGATCGATTTTGAATTGCATACCGCTGTCGCCACCCACCCCGTCAGAATCGATTTTCCACCCTTCGACCGCCAACTTTAACCATCGATGTATGCATGACTCATTAATTTGTCCTGGCGAATTAAATTTATTATCAAGCGCTTCTGCTATAAAGTGCGCGTGCATAGTTCAGAAACGGCTCGAGTGAGTCATTGTTGCGATTCCGCGCAATATTATTATTACATCTCTCTGCGCGTATTATCCGGGGGCGCAAATCCCGACGGAGGGGCGAGTGAGCATGCGTGGCGCGCGCAGGGTCCTCCGCTGCCGATGAGTCGACTGCCGTCTTCGGGGCCGCAGCGTTTTTTTACACGGAAGGTCGCCGACGAAGGTGTGCGAGTGTCTCTCCTCTTTTCACCCTTTGGTCCTGACTGCAAATAGGTGGGTTGGGGGTGCTCGGTTGGTAGCCAAGTCCGCTTCAGACGATGCGGAGATCAACAACAAAAGTATTGATTTTCCATTAGCACGTCGCAACTCTCTCTGCTGCTGTTCATTCATGAGACGCATCGCAATTATTTTGCTTTTCCTTCTTTTTTTTATGTCTTCAGGAAATTGCTCACGGATTTTCGTTTGGCTTAGGACCAGCAAATCTCGTGTCCTCTGATTAATTTTATAACATATATATAGAACGTGCGGGGCTAGAAATTCAAGCGCGTTAATTATAAGAACAAAGCTAAGAACCTTTTTTTCTGTAGAGGTTTCGTAGAGATGTTTTGTCGGCACTGCATGCTCCAGTCATATTTTCTAGCAATATCGATCTTCCATTGATGTAATGACGCCACAGGAAAATATAGCTGCAGATAATTAGAATAAATTTAAATAAGAAAAACTCGGAGCCTCCTTTAATAATGCATTTTCTGGCCAGAAAAATTACTTTGGCTGAATTCGAACAACCAGTAAATGTTTAAATTGAATTCCTAGTTTGAATGTAAATTTGCAAACTTCTTTATTTTTTCCCTTTCTTCAAGTAAGCAATATATTGAATTTTTTGTCCACAAATGAAAGTGAGCATGTCGTTATTTGAAGCTATTGTAAACGCGGCACTTCATCGTCTCATTCTTTTCAATCCCATTATTTACTGCGCACGAAAAATCTTAAAGAGCTCTCAAATATTTTTCAGATGTCTTTCGAATAAATCGTCAAACGATCCACGAGTAGCGAGAAATCATGACATCGCGATCAAAGGAGCGAGTGGCCGCAGCCTTTCGTCGCATTTTCCGCGGCGCCCCCGAACGGAACGAAAGTCCGAGCTCACCTTTGAAGGTTGTGCCGAAAACGCAGGGCGGACCGGCGACGGTGCAGGCGGCTGCCAGCAGTCCCATGGCGTCACCAGCGCGGCGCCTCCTCAGGTGCAGGGACGCCGTTTCGCCAGCGGCAAACTTGGACATCGCGGCCAACGCAGGTCTCGAAAACTTAGTTTCAGATCTTCCACCAATTTATATTTAAAATTTTTATTTAAAGCATGAGAAATTTTGGTATAGAAATAAGTGTACATTTTAAAATTGAAATTTTCAATTCAAGAAGATGAATTATTTATTATAAACTTTTACTCTAAAAAATTACTTTTTTAATTTCATCCAAATCAATAAGTGGATATTCATTTTTTGCATAGAGTCATAATAAAAATAAAAATATGTAAACAGACAGTTTTTTTAAAGGATTATTTGGAATAAAAATTTAAATTGAAAAACATTAATTGTTTTTTACAGGTGTTGTGCCAGCCCAGCCAAACAAATCGTCCCGCCTTCATTTCCCTGGTGCCAGTTTTTTCAAGAGCAAGAGAAAGCAGGCGGCTGCACCCCAGGCTGCAAACTCTTCGTCCTCCTTGGCCAGCTCAAGCTCGTCCACTTCCAAGACCTCCAGCAACCCCCTTGAGCAAAGTTCTGGCCACGGAAAGGCAGTCAGGACCAAGCGGCTCATGAAGGAACTCAAGGTACTTGAATCGCTATTTTTTATTTAAATAAATAATAAAAGACATTGCAAAAATCAGGAAATACAAAAGCTGCAGAGAGCAACGCCGCAACCGAATTTCACCGCCGAGCTGGTCAACGACAATCTGTACGAGTGGCATGTGCGTCTTTACGCAATCGATCCTGAGAGCGACTTGGCGCGGGACATGCGAGAACATGGAATCACTTACGTCCTGATCAGCTTCTCCTTCCCGGACAACTTTCCGTTTGCGCCTCCTTTCATGAGGGTAGTGTCGCCGAGGATCGAGAAAGGGTTCGTCATGGAGGGCGGCGCCATCTGCATGGAATTGCTCACCCCGCGCGGATGGGCCAGCGCGTACACCGTTGAGGCCATCGTCATGCAGTTTGCTGCCAGCATAGTCAAAGGACAGGTACACAAAAAGATATTTTTCTTTTGAGTTGGTTAATTTCTCCATTTAATCCTCTAAACATCTCACTCTTCTCAAAGGTATTTGCAGTGTTTTTTTTTTATAAATATGTTATTTTATATTTTTGATTTATTAACTTAATGTAAGATTTTGAATCTAAATTGGAGAGGAAATAAATAGGGTATTTCTAATTTAAGGAGAAAATTGTGCAGCTTGAATTGAATCTGGATTTTTTTAATTTATTTTTAACTTTTCCTTATTTAAAAATTGAAATTGGCCTTTCTTTTCAGGGTCGCATCGCACGAAAGCCGAAGGGTAGCAAAGAGTTCACGCGACGCACCGCCGAGGACAGTTTCCGTAGTTTAGTAAAAACGCACGAGAAATACGGCTGGGTGACTCCTCCACTGGCCGACGGCTAGACCGCTACGGCCCTGCTGTGTGAGGGGTGCCACACTTCAAAGACACTTCTCACCCAAACCTCAATTGCACTCGTTTAGTGATCATCACTCTAGTGAACAATGTCCAGTTCGCAATCGGTTGATTTAAAACCAAAAAAGTCTAGACTTTAACAAGCCGCGTGCTATTAAAAAATTCACGCTTATGCAACCGGCTCGGCTTCGGAGTCCACACACGGTTGCAGAGGCGATAAATTTCCGAGAAATTATCTCCCTGTTAATTAAGGGTGGATTTCCGTCTCCGGTTGTGGAACCTGATCTCTTGATTGAGATTCGCGGCGTCATGTTGTGTTACAGTATCAGGTAAACATGCCAAGCGCTAGAATGTGTGAGAGGCTCACCAAAGCGACGGTAACACGCGCAACAAGAGATATTTAATTACATTGTTATGTGCTCAAATATACAACCCCCCAAGCCCTGTTATATTGCATGTGTCACGTGTTGTGTAACGATATATACAAAAAATCGTGTTGTTACCAAATTACTCCACTCATTAGCTGGCCACACGGAAAAAAAATAATCTGTATGTCTTTCTCGATTCTCATGAGCATTTTTACACGTTTTGGTGTTTATATATCTTTGACAAAAGTAATAAGTGCACCAGATTAATTGCAGGCATCACAAATTTCAGAGTGAGATTTTAAAGTTATCACACGCATCATATTTGCATGATATTAAGTAATGTGAATGATTGTAACATTTTAATGAATTTAGTTTAAAAAGCGAAAATCTGTTACAAAAAAAGAGAGCTTTTGCAAGTCTTGCGCGACCCGCAAGCACATTATACCTGATGTACGCGCGTAAATCCGAAAACGATAGGGTTGTATTTTCATTAGAGCTCGTTTGTTTTGTTTTCATTCAAGTGGCTGTGAAAAGTTTCTGTTCTGGTTAAATATCTAGAAAAGCGTACTTGAGAGTATAAATCTAAAAAAAGTCAAGAATTAGTTTTTCGTGTGTGTACTTATAAATTATATCCGTCCCATTCAAAGATATGTTAAAAGAGAGTCGGCGTTTGTGGGCACAAAAAAAGAAACTTAATGATTACCAAAAGAGGCTTCAAATTCCAGGCCAGCTCGTTGAAATTTTAATTAGCGTGCACCATCGTAAACAGCAAACACCAGGATATATAAGTTTTAAATTGATACATGTTAAAAATTAATATAAACGAGAAAGAGAAAACGTTATAAATAAATTATTAAATTCTGCTAAATATATCATTACTCGCAGAGCATTTGACATTTAAAATCAATGCATGTTTTAATATCAAAACTGATGTTTGGTCCTCTGATCGATTAAAATGTGTAGGTTAACCAAAGTTATACTTCCACAAAGCGCTGATCAAATTCTAAAAACAATTATTAAACTGGCGGAACCTTTGCACTTCGAATCGCAAATTATCGACAATTATTGTGAGAAAATATGCGTCTCAAGTCGAAGAGTTTTGTCGCAAAACACATTAAACATTATGTATTGATTGTAATTAATATACGTGTCTTGTAAATAAGTATAGCCGATGTTTTGCTCCCCGTGTCCAGTATGTTAATTCACCTTGCCTGCTTCACACTGTGTCAATACAAAAATGGAACATCATCGTCAGTAAACCAAACTGAAAAAACAAAAAATGTTTTTGTTTTCATTAACATTTGATTATGAAATATCTGGAAATATCCCCAAAAAAATAATATTTTTTTTATTTAAAGGATGGATTTAAAAATTTATGAAACAGAGAAGTCTAATTTTCCAATTAATTTGAAATTTTGCGTCTGAATTACACTAAAATTTTAATATTTTTTTCATCAGGGCCAGGTGTTTTTGGTCTGTGCCCTTTATTAGTGGTGCAGAAGGCACCAGCCAATTTAATTTTTTTTCTCAACTTTATTAAAAATCTTCATTTTTTGCTGGTATATCCTTATTTTTGTCCTCTCGATGAGACGAACAATGTTGAAAACATGAAAACTAATAAAGAGAGATAAAAAGATTAAGAAAGGATTTGGATTTAGGTTGCGGAAGGTCAGATTGTGATATTTTAGGTGTTTTGAATAATTTTGTGTTAAATTAATTGTGTTTGTTTTTATTTTCGTTTGTATTGCAAGTTAAAAATAATAAAGATTTCTCATTTTTATTGTTTTGTGATTAAATTTTTTTTGTGTTTGCTGAGAAACTGCAATTTTTGTTCAGTCAGGAATTAATTTTATAATTAATTTTATGTTTTCTTAAGCCGTTTGTTTCAAGTTTTTTAAGCGGGAAGGCTGTCGTATGTGCACAACGGTCAGGGAAGAAGGCGGAAGAAAGCATAAAACTTTCATCTTTGTTGGGAACCGCGGGACTGTGTAGCGTGTATTAAATTACTTCATTTTAATTTGTTGCTGCTCAATCAAAAATTCCTTAACAAAACGAGACGAAACAAGCTGGAACGCGTTTCAAGCCTGAGATTGCGACTTCTACTCAAATAATGCCTCTTGGTGGAATAAACAGTGTTAAACAGATAAACTTATGTTCATTCATGTTCTGAGAATTTCACTATTCGCATCTTATACAATGAGGAAGGGAGAAAGAATGCCAGCCTACTTACTCCATTCGGTCGTTTTAGATGTGGAGGGGGAAATTTCTTCCCTTCTCTCTTCTGCGTGAGACATGCTTTGCTTTATTTTTTGTTTCAAATTCTGATTGTTTCATTACCCAGTCCAGTCAGTACCCGCTTGTCAGTGAAAGAGAAAAGTAGAGAGTGAATATCAGTATTATCAGTGTGTCTGGATAATCAGTGCAGTGCGGACATTGTACTTTGGTGTGCGAATAACTGCGAATGCGATGTGTTTCACGCGTGTCGTGTGTGTGCAAATTTGCATTTTGCAAGAGGAATGCTCAGTCGGGATTCGGGATCAGCAGTGGCCTTTGAAATTGGAAACCCCGAGTTCAAAAAGCAGCGACGAGAAGAGCGACCGGCGAATTCCCCGTCTTCAGATAATGGAGAAAATCAATGGCAGCAACAAAGGTAGGTGAAGAAATTAAGGAAATTATGTATGTATTCTTTGTTATCCTATAAAAGAAAAAAATTTACCCGTTACTCAAAAGCAGGATAGCTTAATTTAATAAGATAAGAGAAACGTTTTTGATCAATAAATATTTTAGGAAAAGGAGCCACAATTTTGCAACTTGATATGAATGAAATTACAATTAAAATTTAATATTATTTTACTATTTAGTTATGCCTTTTTCTGCGTTAATAGTTAACATTTCCTTGGAAGAAATTGTTATAAAAAAAATCCATAATATTTCCTTAATTTTGATAGGAGTTTTGACGTGAAATTTTCAAATTTACCATTCATGGAAACTACAGGGGAACTGATTTTCAGTGAAAAAACCTTGCAAATAATGTAAAATATAATTTTAAATTAACTTTTGCATAAATTATTATAATTTAATTTTATTTTATTTACACGCCGCCCATCTTTGAAACAGGAGCCAGGTGCAAATTAAATTAAAATTTTAAATTTGCAAGAAAATGGCATACAATTTATAAAATCTTATGTGTGCGCGTTCTAAAGTCAAATTTCACTGAACACCTCATACTCGAGTGGTCGCATGTAAATGGGCTCGTATTCCAAAGAAACGTCCAGAGCTTCAGTCATTCTCAAAAACCACCTTTCCAGGTACGCTTCAAATGACGTGTATCGGTACCAAATTTTGATCCGCCTCAAAAACGGCGAGCGAAGCATGAGGATTTTGGCGATCTGCATCACCTGCTGCGTCTCAGATTCAGGAAACTCAACGTCAAAATGCACTTCCTTGATGTCTTTCAGGCACTCGTGGTCTTCTCGGATTGTCTGCAGAACGGACGGAATCATTTCGGCCACGAAAATGTGCACGCGGTTGTTGAGCTTTTGCGAGCCGGTGAGAAACATTTTGAGCAACTCGCAGTTCTCTTTGCGATAGACGTAGATTATATTTTCGTATTTGGTCCTGTAGAGGGCGAAAGTTTCCATTCGACTGAAACTTTCGGCGCTCAATGTGCAGTCCGCTGGTCTATTTAGTGTCGAACATTCATCGACGAAAAGTTTTCTCAAATTTGGACACATCTCAATTACTCGGTACAAATTCAAATTTCTCGTCATGGCTTGCGCCAATCTGAATTTGAGCCCCAACTGCTCTAATTTCGGCCCAAAAATTTCCAGCGACCGGTAAACATCTTGGTCTTGGACATTTTTTAGTTCAACAGCAATCAATTTTTCCGTGCAAATGGAGCGCATTTTTTCAAGTGCTGAGGTTGACACGAAGACAAGACCGAGGATTTTCAGTTTTCCAACAGTCAAATTTTTCGGCCACTCGCACTCCAATTCGTGCAGTACGAGTTCAACTATGTGCAATTTTCTCTTTGCATTTTGTTCCAAAGAAGAGAATTTTTCCAGGAAGCCGTTCCAAATGTTGTGGGTTAAATTGTTATGGCAGAAGTGGAAATTGGTCAGGTTCGGCGTCTTGGCCGCGACGTTCGCGATCAAAGCGGTGATTGTGTGCGGGTTGTACCGCGTGATTTGACTCGAGTTATTTTTCCCAGTGATTTGCAAACTCAGGTGTTGCAGGTTTTTCATGGCCGTCAGGTATCCAACGCACTCGCTGCTTTCCTCTTCGTTGTAGTAAATGGTAATTTCCAGTCCCCTGTTATGAAAATTTCATTATTCTCACTGTTTTAGTTTTTTGGATGAATCTGAACAGAAGAAAAAAGTATCAAATTCTATGGTGAATTGAATGGGCTTTTCCTCGATGGGTTTTGTAAGTTGTTCATTGTTTAACTTAAACTATAAACAAGTCACAAAAACCATGAAGGGAAAGCCGATTTTAAATTCAAGTCCCCATGAATCAAGCCTCAATCGTGAAGTTCTGTTCAACTATTAAAATATAAAATTCTTCCCCAAGTTATTTTCCTAAAAAAGAGTTTCCGAGTGAGATTGAGTGGACATTAAAGGAAATTTCAATTATTTTTAATAGTCAAATTCTGAACCTACGTTTTATTTTAATTTTTTAATTTTTATGAAATAATTTTATGTGAAATAATGTTACATCGGCCCTATAATGTTCGAAAAAGCAATTTTCTCCGTTTTATTTAGAGAAAAGAAGAAAAAAATTTGCTTTATCAAGCAAAATGCGCTGTTCAGAAATGCTTTTTTTTTTGTGTGTCTATAAGTCATCAGTGGTGGCGACTCAGGGACTCTCATGACCTGAGCGCCACCTCCTGAAGTAGCGATTTTTTTAATATAAAGAAAGACACGTTTAATTTAAACCCTGGGTTGGGTTTTCCGTTCTTTTATCCACTATATTCATGCCAACTCAATTGCAATAAATATTGAAATATAATTTTATTAAAAAAGAAATATTAAAAAAACTGATTAAATGAAAGTAAAGAAAAATTAAATTAACATAATAATTTTATTGCGAGTTGAGCTGGAGATTATATTCCAATATTTTTTGTTAAAAAATATCTCAAAAAGTGAGAGAGATGAAAAATAGTTGAAGCAAGAAATTTAAATTGACACATTTAAAAAAAATTTAATTGAAAATGCAAAGTTTCTTTAATTTATCTGAAAGAAAACGATTGAATAGACATAAAATTCATGTCAATCCTTATCAATTGAAATCTTAAGTCTTAAATCTTGTGGCGAATGGTGTCTTTTTGATATTGGAAGTTTAAGCAAAATCTTGCTAGTGGTGGTGCCGTTTTGCCCAACAATTCCATTTCCTTTAAACAATTCAAACTGTGATTTAAAAAAAATTTGAAAAAATAAAAAATCAATAAAAAAATAATAAAAATTAGATATTTTTCTAATATGAAAAATAAATGTTGTTCTTATGCATATTTATGTTGCCTGAATTTAAAATAAACAGCAATTTAAATTGTTGAGCAAAAAAAAAAATAAATAATAAATAACCGGGAATTTTATTATTTGAAAATTTTATACTATTTCCTGGCTGCATATTTATTAAAAAATACCAAAGGAAGTTGGTGTGATAAGCTTTTTTCTCAATAAGTAAAACCACTCGCGTGCTCCTACAATCGTCACTGCGAGCTTGAGTCGGGATGCATAAATCTTGTGCTAAAGAATATCCGGACGATTTGAATCCGTTCGGCGATGCCGAGCAAGATGGGGTGGAAACAAGATTTGCAGGGCTCAACCCATTTGAATGTGCAGAAGAGAGGAAACCCGCCGAGTACCGCGCTCGTTCCGTCTATGTCGTGCACAGCCCAACGCCGTCCCCGCGCCGGATATCAACCCAGTTGTGAGCATTCAAAGTCTCTTTCAAAATTATATTTTTGAAAATGCCATTTTTTTTCGACAATTGGAGTCCAACTCCTGCTCCTCGGAGAGCCTCAGACCGAGTTTCAATTTGCTCTAGTTATTTGTCTCGGGACTCTGAACCTCGTCCCGATTTTTCTTCAACCACAATCGACTCTAAAAAATGTGTAAGTTTTTGGTTTGCTCTAATTAAGAGATCAAATTATTTATTCATTATTTTAGTTGTCATCAATGCGCAGTCCTAGACCGTCTAAGAAAAAACGACGTGCACCGAGTCCGCCCAAATTTTCTCCCCGAATCAACCCTGCTAAAGACTTTATCAAAGAGGAAACGACTGATGTTGAAATTAGAAAGGAAAACTGCGCATGAGGAAAACGGTTTTGATACTCAAAATAAGCGTTAAAAATTACTTTTTGAGTGAATCCAACTATTATTTTTTATCTTTTTGAAGAAATTGACCCTGGAAAAGATGATCATGGAAATTGATGGAAATGAAGAGATCGAGCTTTTCCTCGTTGCGAAAATTGTTTTTATTTAAAAACAAAACGGCTTTACCAGTTTTGGTCACGATCTGCAACCCTACTTCGTGAGCAAGAAAAATACTAAGAACAAATCAGCAAAATTGAAAAAGAAAATATCACTTTTTAAAATAAAAATCTCAAAACTACCAGATTCAAGTTAAAAAAGTTTATGAATTTTTTGTTAACATTGTAGTTTATCAATTTGCTTGATTTTTTGTATTTTTCTTGCTCATAAAATAGAGTTGCAGACCGCGACCGAAAACGGTAGAGCCGTTTTGTTTTTGAACAAAATCAATTTTCGCAACGAGGAAAAGCCCAATCTCCTCATTTCCATTATTTTTTTTACAATAAATGTAACTTTTTCACCTGAGATTCGGGTGGTTTTTTAAGATGAGTCGTAGTGTCTTCGGCTCGCAAATAAAATCCTTGATACTGAGAAATTTCAATTCCCTCCACTGCACAACGCTTTCCCAGGGGAAAAAGTACTGCATCTGACTTGGCCAGTACATTCGCAGCCACTCGATTTTGGTGCAGTTTCTCTGAATGTGGTGCAGAAGGACGCAGGCTATTTGCACGTTCTTGAACGGTTGTTCCGTCGGAGCGACCAGTTGGGTCACAATGTCAAAATCGAACTTGGTGAAGCTGTCGTTTACCAAAGGCATCAAAAAATCAAAATCTACCTTGGAAGTGAATTTTTGTCTTTCAGTCAATGCTGTCCCGATGAATTGGAAGAACTTTCTTGCAAGTGGTTTCGCTGTGTAAAATAGTTAATATTATTTAAATTTTTATTTCATTTATGAATTGTTCTTCTTACGAATTATTTCCAGCAGTGATACTCCGTTTCTTTTGACTTTGAAAATGTGTGCGTTTTGTGTTATCGTCTTGAAGCAAATTTCGGAAAGAGGCAAAACCGTTCGTTCTTTCCATCGTTCCATATTCACTGCTTTCATAATCAAAGCAAAGAACCAATCACTGAAATTTAAAAAAAAATTTTTAAACCAGGTATTTAATTATAATAATTTAGATTATTAAAATTTCATTCTTCATTTTCAAATAAATTTTTATAACTGGTCAGTCGTGGTCAGTTAAAAAATTTACACGGCCTTTTAATTTTACCTCATAAATGCAATGTCGTCCGACATGCCGATATCGGCAACTTCTATAGACAGCAACACGAGTTAGCTGACATCAGCTATAAACAGAATGTAAGAATAAATATTGTACAGTTTTCTTAAGTTTTACTCTCGCGAAGCGCCTAATTTTTATTGATACACGCAAATTGACTGATTATCTGATTTATTCGTTTATCCCTGTCAAGTCAGTGTCAACCCTGATCTTTCTTGAAAAAGGAGAGGCGAGCTTTTGGGTTTTGTGAAATTCTTCAATAGCAATGGAAAAGTATAATAATAATAATTCTTTTATTAAACGCGTTTGCGTACATGCGCTGCTGGAGCAGCACTAGAAAAATAACATTCATACACCACCTAACGGTGGGAGACACAAGCATATTATTGGGACTGAAATCAATACAGCAAATAAATGCATAGCACGAAAATTATACAGCTCAGCAAATTATTAGTTAATCAAAAGAAAAATGATGACGTTACATGTCAAAATAATAACCACACCACTTTGCACTATTTTATGTCAAGTTGGACCTGCTCTTTTACTTCCTACAGAAACTTGTGATTTTGAAATTTTGGCACTCGGTTTTGAAGAAATGTTGCGGCACGGTGCTTTTGGTGCTTGAGGTCTTTGCTTCCTAGTCGTTATGAAAGTTTTGCTGAAGCGAGCTATCTTCGCAGGTGTTGCTGGTTCTGGACTTGGACTTTCTGCTACAAAAGGTTAACAACAACAACCAAAAAACTCAGGTTCCGTGACTCCACCAACCCAACGCCCCCTTATTGCGCCGATTCGTTGCTCACTTCTTTTTCTCTGCGGCTTCTGCCAACAAGAGCTTCTGCACCGACGAGAATTGTGTTTATGATCAATTTCACGGTTGGTTTTGCAATGGCATCAAAATAATTTTTTTCGGCTTTGGAAAGTGTTTTATATTTTTGAATAATTTATTATTATGTTAGTACAATACGTTTCATGACAATTTTGAATACCACTGCTTCATTTTTTTTTTTTTAAATAAATTTATACAACTCTATGCCTTTTTAATTTAATGAAATATGCTATATTTTGTTTTATTTACTTTAATCAATTTTAATGCTTGGGAAAGGATATTCAAGTATTCAATATGTTTTATTTTGTTAAGCATTGCTACAAGTAACAAAAACTTTTTAAAATAAGTCAGAGTACAGTACATTATTCAAACGATAAAACTCGTTCAGGTCATAAAATTGATGTTCTTGTACAAAAGATTTAACTTTCTTTACAAGGACCTCGTCACTTTCGAGGATTTTCAATGTTACAGGTAAGGCATTAAATATTCTTGGTATCATAAACTCGGGATTTTCAACAGATTTTTTTAGCTTAATTTCCTTCACAATCAGATCATTATCACAAATGTTTGCTTGATTATATCGAGTTACCCTCCTCATATCTTCGTTATCACTATATTTCTGAAATAGCCTGCGGTTTTGCACTAGAAATTTAATACACTCGAGAATGTACAGAGAAGGCACAGTCATAATATTATACTTAGAGAATAATGGTTTACATGTGTCCAGCGCTTCATTTGATCGCCAATATCGGACGCCAGCCATAGCTCTCAGGGCTCTTTTTTGTGCTCGAAATACTTTTATAAGATGACAAGAACCTCCCCAGATCACAATACTATACATTAAATGACTCTGTACATGAGCAAAGTATATCAGTTTAAGAATATCGTCTGACACTTTATATTTTAACCTAGTAAATATATGGGAGACACCTCTAAGTTTGTTAACAACCCTATCGCAGTGATCACTCCAATTTAAGGTATCATTTATTTCTACTCCTAAGAGTCTGCCGGTCTTTGAGATTTCTATAACTTGGTCTTGAATATTAATAACAGGTTGGACTATATTTTTCGTTTGACTTGTGTGAATCTGCAATATTTTGGTTTTTTTGGAATTGATTCTTAGAAAATTGTCGTTAGCAAAGCTGGTAAAACTATCGTTTACTGCCACTGTTTTTGTGTTTACTTCAGAAAATGATCCTCCCTTAACAATCGCCGTAGAATCATCTGCAAAGAGGATCAGAAGGGCCAAAAAAACAGCGAGAGGAATATCATTTAAGTACATAGAGAAACCAATTGGCCCGAGAACTGTACCTTGGGGCACACCCATATTACTTTCTAACACATCTGAGTTTATATACTCTTCATATCTATCACAACCAAGATTTTTGAGCTGTACAAATTGTTTCCTATTGGTCAAAAAGCAATTGAGCCACGAGAGCAAGTTATTATGTAGGCCGTATTGTTTTAGCTTATGCACGAGCAGAGGTGGATACAGAGTTCCAAACGCGTTTGAGAAGTCGTACAGAATTACGTTTACTTTCTCTCTTGCTTCAACCGATTCATATAATGAGGTCACATAGCTATAGAGCGCAGTTACAGTATTTTTTCCTCTCCTGAAACCGTGTTGCTCGGGAATTAAGATATTGTTGACATTCAGGTGACTTTCAAGTCTGTGCAAGAAGGATTTTTCGTAAACTTTAGATATTGCCGATGTAATTGAAATTGGTCTATAATTAGCTGGGTCTTCCTTATCGCCTTTTTTAAATAACGGAGTAATTTTAGCTAGTTTCATATTGTCGGGAAATCTCCCTTCCAGGAAGGACTGGTTTATCAGATAGGTGAGTGGAACTGTAATAAGCATAGATATCTTTTTCAAGACAGTAGTTGAGATTCCGTCCCAACCAAACGATTTTTTAGATGGAAGATTTTTGATGATACTATACACTTCAAATTCATCCATTAACTCAAGACCTTGTGCCATACAGTAAGCTTCATCCGGTAATTTTGAGCAATTATTTAAATTAATACTGTTAGTGTCGGGTTCAGGCTCAACAAATTTACTGTTCAAACAATTAGCAATATTTAATTTGATTGTTTCACTAGCACCATCTACAGTTAACTTTTCAATGAATTCTGCATTTTTGTCTTTTCCACATTGAGTATTAATTAATTTCCATGCTGCGCTAGATTTGTTTGTTGCCTTTAATATTTTATTGCCATTTACTAATTTTATTTCCTTTTGGATGTTATCTATAACTTCCTTCTTAATACGTTTTAATTTTTGCTTCATATCAGTTTTAAGATTTTGATCCATGTTAGCTTTTATTTCTTTGCTAAGTTCAATCATCTGCTTTTGTAAATTTTTTGTTTCTTGTGATAAATTAATTTTCCCAGTTTGATTAGCCCTTAGTGTAATACGTTTTTTTGGAAAAGAGATCTCAAAGTATCTTACGAGTATGTTCATAAAGGCCTCGCTTTTACTATCAATTGAGCAAACCTTAAAGACTTGATCCCAGCTTTCAAGTTCAAGCAAGGAATTAAATTTTTGATAATTTTCATCAGTATAACATCTAACATATTTAAACTATCTTGAAGTTTTTCGACTGGCAGTGCAATCGACGCATACACTGCGCAGTGATCAGAAAAAGTCATTGGAATTATTTTAAAAGTGCTTTCCAAATTAAAATTAGTATATACATGGTCAAGAAGTGTACCTCCATTTACATTTGCCCTAGTTACTTTTTTTTCATTCAACAGGTGCAGGTTGTGAAAATTAGTAATCTCTTTTAATTTAGTGCTGTTTTGATCATCACAGAGAAGATCAATATTGAAGTCCCCAGCTAGAATTACGTGACCACTAAATCTGGATTGCATGAGTACATTGTCTAAATGTTCTAAAAATTCAGGAACTATTGCATTTGCTCTTGGATTACTTGGGCGATAAACACCAATAACATAAATATTTTCAGACCCGACAGATATTTTACTTGCGCAGAATTCAAAAAACATTTCCCTAGAAAACATTTTAACTATTTTAGTTGAGCCTTTCATAAGTTTATTTTTTAGGATTAGAACCCCACCTCTTTCATATTTCTTTTTACTTCTTCCAAAATAGGCTAACAACTAAAATCCCTCCAGATAAAAAGTTTTTACCTCATGTGAATCTAACCAATGTTCTGTAATAATAATTATATCTGGACGTTCTTTTAAGCCATGTATAAAACTAGTAAATTCAGTATATTTGTCGGGTGTCTTTAGGCCTCGAACATTTAAGTTTAGTAATTTTAAGTTATTTAAGCGACTTTGTAACGGGACTTTACAATTGAGTTTTTTGAGTGTCTTCTATAATTAATCGACGTGGATTTAGAGGGTGATGGTGCGGCGATCTTCGGGGATGTATCCGATGGGGAGGGCTGCCTACTCAGGTGGCGCACGGCCGAAGGGCCGGCCTCCTTTCTTGGCAGCGATCGCCTGATGTTTACCGGAACTGTCCCACGTAGCCCGACCGAGACTTGCTCGGCCAGCGCGTCGATGCTGCGCCTCATGCCGGACAACTCTTTGGCCAGGTCCGCTGTGCTGCAGGGCGCATCAGGAGCCACGGTGGGGGCGGAGTAGGTCTGTGGTGAGGCTGAGGGCTCGAACGAAGCGAGGGGTGAGACTTTGGGTAAGTCCGAAACACCGATTGTTACCTTAGCATTGGGAGTTTGCCGGGGGGGTCGGTGATCGGAATCAAGTGGGGGCAGCTGGTGCAGGCTACCCCCACCGGCAAAATTTTCCCGAAGATTCTCGGCCTCGCTTCCTCCTTTCAGGTCAGCAAAGAATTTCGTCAGGCTGGTATACTCCTTCTTGCCCTCGCCTCCAGAATAGTTGGCTTCCAGACTAGAAATAATTTCCTCCTCAGGGTAGGTTGACTGAATCAAAGTTATTTCACCTTTATTAGCAGGTGATGAGGTGGGGCTGGACGCACGGGAGGGCACCCCAGCTTTTTTACAGGTCTCCGGTGTGCGCCCAGCTTGTCCACCTGTACCTGCTGTAACCTTGGCAGCTTCTGATGGGGCACCGCCAGGCCCGGGGGGAGCCGCGCCAGTCTCTATAGTTTGCTCCTTCATCTGTCCCGTTGTCACCGCTTTCGGCTCCGTCGTCCGCGGGGGTTTTGGCAGAGAGGAAAATTCGGGTTTAGTGAGGTCAGTAAGAATTTTATTTTTTACTAACCTCGTGCCACTCCTGGCCGCCCTTGCATCTTTTCCTCTCCCTCTTCCTCCTCGTTGATGGGCATCGGTCATCCGGGACGAGTGTCCAGTGCGCATTTGCTGCTGTCTCTCAATGTCGGCGGTCAGCCTCTGCATTCCATTGACCTTTGGGCTTCGCTGGTGTGCTGGCTGCTTGTTCTTCGGGGAATTTCTTCCAAATGAATCTGCGGATACGTCCGGACAGGTTTTTTCAGCTGCTGCTTGTACGGGAGTCGAGGCCGCGACGTCCCTGTACGAGCGGCGCTTCATCTCATTGACTGGACGCTCAGACGGGTGGACAAAGATGAGAACGTCAGTATCGACTCCGGCGAAGGCCTCTTCGATGACCGAACGGACCCACGGCCATGGTTGTCGGTCCAGTCCGGCCCCGATGCGCGGCATGGCAAGCGTTGGCACTCCAAGCGAGGAACAGAGCTGAGCCAGCTCTCGGACGGCGGAGACAAAGTCATCAGGGCGAGGTAAGCAGTACGCTGAGCGCGGCTTGGTCACTAGGTAGAAAACGAATTTCAGCTGCTCTTCCGAGATAGGCAGAGAGGCGACCTGACCAGGCCGGCGGCCGAGAGATTTCAGGTAACTCACGTTTCCGTACTTCTCCTTTATTGGCACTGCGATGCCGGCTCCCATCAGAAAATCGGCACCAACGCAGTGAGCCAGTGAGGCGTCGGCTGGAGCGTCCTCAAAAAGGTCGCCGTCGATTTCGTACACTCTCGCAGGACGCGTGGGCGGCGGTAGAGATTTAGGGCTTTCAGGTACGTTTTGAAGGCTTGCCTTTATTACCGCAAGTTCGACGAGGACAGACTGTAGTGTTTGGTAGATCCATTCGCCTCGGTGACAGCATGGCGTTTCTAATGGCGTTCTGTGCCCAGCCCTCCCAAACGCTGGTCGTCGTGGAATTTGAGCTTGCATCTTGGAAAGTCGGATATCACATCGGCTGCCCACAGACACACACCCGCACTGAACCTTCACGAGCTCTCAGACACCAAAAACGGGCAGACTCAGTTTCAAAATCGCAGCGAAAACTCAAAATTCCGGGACCAAAAGCAGTGTTTACAAGTTCATAGGGGGGCGTTCATAGGTATAATTTAAATGTAAATTAAATAACTGAAAAAATTTAACACACGACTTTTTAAACAATTTATGAAAAAGATTTATTTAAAATGAAGTAACGAATATGCATGTTTTTAAAATAACAAAATATATGTGATTTAATTATACATAATATATTTATTGTATTGAAATGGTTGATTTTTGAGGTATCAAAAAAAGTCGTTTCTTGCAATTTTACTGATTTTGCATTTTTTTTTTTACTTGCTCATGAAATAGGTTTACAGATCGTGACCAAAAATGGTGTAGCCATTTGTTTTTTTAATAAAACAAATAATGTTCAACAAATGAACGACACCTCAAGTGCAAATTTATTCAATCAAACAAAATAAAATAATATATTGACCTATTTAATCTCATTTTAGATTATTTTAAGCTCAGTTCTCATTTTTTTATCATGAGATCATATTCTTTAACAAAACTCATTTTTCCTCTATAGTTTATCTACAATGTTTAAGCTTACATTGAGATCATGAACCAACGTGATCAATTTATCAGACAAAAGCGATCGCATTTTTTTCGCATTGATCATTTCTTGGCATTTGATATTAAAAGTGTGAAGCCGCGGCGCGCGCTGAATCATGACGTCTAAAATCTTCTCCACGAAAAAGGTATGCATAATGCACTGGACATTAAAATTCAGCTCTTCAATGTCTTTTAAACAATTAGGGTTGCTCACCAGCGCGTCCAGCAGGGCTGATAACATTTCGCCCGCGAATATGCTCAGCCTTGTTTTGATTGCCTCCGAATTGAGGAGAAACATTTTGAAAATCAGTACATTGTGCTGCCTGTCGATCACATGCACGTTATCACTTTTGCACCGGTAGAAATCGAAAGACTCGATTTTTGTGAAATAGTCCGCGGTCAGTTCAAAACCCTCCATTTCCTCTGTGGTCGCAAACTCGTCCACGCTGATCTTGCGCAGATTTCTACAAAGATTCAAAATTTTGTAAAGATTCAAGTCTTCCGGTGGCCTTTTCCAAAACAGTCCCAAGTGCTCGATTTTCGCACCGAAATATTTGAGAATTTTGAAAACGAACGAAGTCTCGGAAATCTCACGCAGGTCCAGCCGTTGCAGATTTGCGGTCGGAATCGTGAGCACGTTGCGCACAGTGTCCGGATTCGAGTCGAGCAAGTCGCCGAAAATGGTCAGTTTCTCGACGGTGAGTCCATTTGCAGGCCACGTACATGTCAGGTTAAAAATTTGCAGCCCCAGCAGGCAGACGTTCCGATCGGATTTTTCCAGTGAAATCCATTTTTCAACAAACCCGTCCGAACTGCGCGATGGACACGCTTCTGAAAGCTCGCAGTGAAATCGTTTGACATTCGGGGCCGCGGCGGCGATCGTGGCGAAAAGCTGGTTGGCCATTCTTTCGCGAAATCTCTTCACCTTTTCTTTGCTCGGCAGGGTGCCCAAAACGTAGAGGTATTTCAGACTTTTCATCTCGGCGAAGACGTCGGGTGAGTCAAATTGGTTCACAAAAATTCCCATTTCTAGGCATCTGTGAAGAAAAGTTAAAATTTAAAGAAAATTGAAACAGGGATCATCATTGCAAAGAGAAAAATGAAACTTTTTTTAATTGTCTCTTTGCAAATTTCATTTTTGCACGAAAAGCTTTCAAAATGTTTGTATTGTAAGAAACTCACTCCAATTTCACGTGATTCTTTGTCAGCAAAAGTATCGACTGTGGGCTGAAGATGAAATCGCGCGCGGCTAAAAACTTGAGACCTCTCCAAGGAGCCAAATAATCCAAAGGCACGTCAAACTGCAGTTCCGTCGGCCACTGCAGTTTGACGCAAGTGATTTTTGGGCAGTTTTTCTGCATGTGGCGCAGGACGACACACGTCCTTGCAATCGAATCAAAAAAAGAAGAGGCTTTCTCGTTATTTTTCAGAATTTGAAAGTCGAAATTGGCGACAAATTCGTTGCACAACAGAATGATGAAGTTCAAATCGGCCGCTTTGAGCTCAGCCAGGATATTTTGCACCACATAGTCGGCTGTATAAAATTTTCAGATAAAATATTCCATTGTGAAATGAATAATTTCATACGTATAGTGTTGAATTTTTTTCTCAGAACGGGATTCGTTAAATACTTTGACCAATTTCGGAAGATTTCCTGGGCGCATAATTTCTTCAGTTTGGGGATGCTGGTTCTCCTCCATCTTTCAGCCTTGATCGCTTCTCTCAATAACGCAAAATCATCATCACTGTGGTTTCACAATAAAAACATAATAATATATAGTGAATTATTTGCAGAGAGAAGAGATTAATCAACTTTTACGTTACCTCAACCGTCGCAACTCAACCTCAAGCATAATTCAATAAATTTAAAAAAAAATATTAGATCACGAAGAAAAAGATATGGAATAATTTTTCTCGGTTAAATGTCCTTCTCAAGAAACCTGCTTAATAAACAGCAGCGCGCACAGTGATGCTCAGTCCTTTTAATCTAAAAATAATCCACTGTTGATCACTTGATGCGCACTAGATTGACCGCCAGCAGAGGGGCTCATACTATGGGAAATGATCAAATTTAGATTTAATCTCCACTCTTCAATTAATCAAGAGAGGATTAAAAAGAAAATGACAAAAGTTTTGCGTTGCTTGGTTTATTGTACATTTTATAATATATCGTCTTTGGTTTGTAAAAACAAACAATCTTATATGCAATTTTAAAGCTCTCTATACATTTAGAATTTTTTTCTAGTTCCCACAAGGAGAGTCTCCACAATATTTACATATATTGACGAGTTTTGGTCTACAACATTGCTTGGACGATCGACAGTTTCTTCAAAATTAAATATTTGATCATGATGAAAATTGATCTTATATTTAAATGAAGTATTTAACCTAGGAATTTAGATTAAATGAAATTTTTTTGCATCAAACCGGAAATCATGTAAAGAGTTGCTTTTTAAGCAAACAGCCATTTAACAAAAAAATAAAATCTCTACTTGTGTGTTGTGTTAAAGCTAAATGTGTGCGGTCGCAACGTTAAAGTCCATCTTGGTGCGCATGTCGTCCTCGCATCGGATTCGGAAAAGGGCACAAAGACGCTCGCTGTGACGGGCAAAGATTTTCCCGTCCGTAACCCAAAAAAACTTACACCCTTTTTCGGCGGCAGCGTTGCGAGTGAGGACAAGTAGTCGGCGGTGGTAGGGGGTCAGTAGTTCGTACGCTCGAATGTTTTGAGAGTCATCAAGTCGACAGCGTTGAGAGGGCAAGTTGTTGGCGGCGAAATTTTAGTCGTTCAAATCTTTGAGAGGTGTTAGAAGCTAAGAGTTGTGAATTTTCAAAATAAAAACGCTCAATCCTATATGAGACCGAAAATTTTAGTCTATCAAATCTTTTAGAGCTGTTAGATGTTTGAAGAGTTGTATTTTGAAAATAAAAAAACTCAATCCTAACAGACCCGAAATTTTAGTCCTTCGAATCTTTGAGAGCCTGTTAGAATCTGAGAGTGGTGAATTTTGAAAATAAAAACGCTCAATCCTATGAGACCCAAAATTTAGTCTATCAAATCTTCAAGAGCTGTTAGATGTTAGAAGAGGTGTATATTGAAAATAAAAACACTCAATCCTAACAGACCCGAAATTGCTCCCTCATGCCAGAGTAACTCCCTCTGGCCGGAGTTGCTCTCTCCTGCTCCCTAATGCAGGAGTTACTCCCTCTTTCCAAAGCAGCTCCCAGCCGCTATAGCATTTTTGGCCAGAGTTTCTCCCTCATGCCGGAGTCACTCCCTTTGGCCGGAGTTGCTCTCTCCTGCTCCCTAATGCAGGAGTTACTCCCTCTTTCCAGAGCCGCTCCCAGCCGCTATAGCATTTTTGGCCAGAGTTGCTCCCTCATACTAGAGTCACTCCCTCTGGCCGGAGTTGCTCTCTCCTGCTCCCTTATGCAGGAGTTACTCCCTCTTTCCAGAGCCGCTCCCAGCCGCTATAGAATTTTGGCCAGAGGCACTCCCTCATACCAGAGTCACTCCCTCTGGCCGGAGTTGCTCTCTCCTGCTCCCGAATGCAGAAGTTACTCCCTCTTTCCAGAGCCGCTCCCAGCCGCTATAGAATTTTGGCCAGAGTTGCTCCCTCATACCAGAGTCACTCCCTCTGGCCGGAGTTGCTCTCATACCAGAGTCACTCCCTCTGGCCGCAGTTGCTCTCTCCTGCTCCCTAATGCAGGAGTTACACCCTCTTTCCAGAGCCGCTCCCAGCCGCTATAGAATTTTGGCCAGAGTTGCTCCCTCATACCAGAGTCACTCCCTCTGGCCGGAGTTGCTCTCTCCTGCTCCCTAATGCAGAAGTTACTCCCTCTTTCCAGAGCCGCTTCCAGCCGCTATAGAATTTTGGCCAGAGTTGCTCCCTCATACCAGAGTCACTCCCTCTGGCCGGAGTTGCTCTCTCCTGCTCCCAAATGCAGGAGTTACTCCCTCTTTCCAGAGCCGCTCCCAGCCGCTATAGCATTTTTGTTTGGCTAGAGTTGCTCCCTCATGCCAGAGTCACTCCCTCTGGCCGGAGTTGCTCTCTCCTGCTCCCTTTTGTAGGAGTTACTCCCTCCTTCCAGAGCCGCTCCCAGCCATTATAAAATTTTTGACCAGAGTTGCTCCCTCATTCCAGAGTCACTCCCCCTGGCCGGAGTTGCTCTCTCCTGCTCCCTTATGCAGGAGTTACTCCCTCTTTCCAGAGCCGCTCCCAGCCGCTATAGCATTTTTGGCCAGAGTTGCTCCCGATTACCAGAGTCACTCCCTCTGGCAGGAGTTGCTCTCTCCTGCTCCCTAAAGAAGGAGTTACTCCCTCTTTCCAGAGCCGCTCCCAGCCGCTATAGAATTTTGGCTAGAGTTGCTCCCTCGTAGTGGAGGCTCTCCCTCAGGCCGGAGTTGCTCTCTCCTGCTCCCTTTTGTAGGAGTTACTCCCTCATTCCAGAGCCGCTCCCAGCCGCTATAGAATTTTGGCCAGAGTTGCTCCCTCATTCCAGAGTCACTTCCTCTGGCCGGAGTTGCTCTCTCCTGCTCTCTTATGCAGGAGTTACTCCCTTTTTCCAGAGCTGCTCCCAGCCGCTATAGAATTTTGGCCTGAGTTGCTCCCTCATACCAGAGTCACTTCCTCTGGCCGGAGTTGCTCTCTCCTGCTCCCAAATGCAGGAGTTACTCCCTCTTTCCAGAGCCGCTCCCAGCCGCTATAGCATTTTTGTTTGGCTAGAGTTGCTCCCTCATGCCAGAGTCACTCCCTCTGGCCGGAGTTGCTCTCTCCTGCTCCCTTTTGTAGGAGTTACTCCCTCCTTCCAGAGCCGCTCCCAGCCATTATAAAATTTTTGACCAGAGTTGCTCCCTCATACCAGAGTCACTCCCTCTGGCCGGAGTTGCTCTCTCCTGCTCCCTAATGCAGGAGTTAATCCCTCCTTCCAGAGCCGCTCCCAGCCGTTATAGCATTTTTGGCCAGAGTTGCTCCATCATACCAGAGTCACTCCCTCTGGCCGGAGTTGCTCTCTCCTGCTCCCTAAAGCAGGAGTTACTCCCTCTTTCCAGAGCCGCTCCCAGCCGCTATAGAATTTTGGCCAGAGTTGCTCCCTCATACAAGAGGCACTCCCTTAGGCCGGTGTTGCTCTCTCCTGCTCCCTTTTGCAGGAGTTACTCCCTTTTTCCAGAGCCGCTCCCAGCCGTTATAGCATTTTTGGCCAGAGTTGCTCCCTCACACCAGAGTCACTCCCTCAGGCTGGAGTTGCTCTCTCCTGCTCCCTAAAGCAGGAGTTACTCCCTCTTTCCAGAGCCGCTCCCAGCCGCTATAGAATTTTGGCCAGAGTTGCTCCCTCATACAAGAGGCACTCCCTTAGGCCGGTTTTGCTCTCTCCTGCTCCCTTTTGCAGGAGTTACTCCCTTTTTCCAGAGCCGCTCCCAGCCGCTATAGCATTTTTGGCCAGAGTTGCTCCCTCACACCAGAGTCACTCCCTCAGGCTGGAGTTGCTCTCTCCTGCTCCCTAATGCAGGAGTTACTCCCTCTTTCCAGAGCCGCTCCCAGCCGCTATAGCATTTTTGTTTGGCCAGAGTTGCTCCCTCATACCAGAGTCACTCCCTCTGGCCGGAGTTGCTCTCTCCTGCTCTCTTATGTAGGAGTTACTCCCTCTTTCCAGAGCCGCTCCCAGCCGCTATAGCATTTTTGGCCAGAGTTGCTCCCGAATACCAGAGTCACTCCCTCTGGCAGGAGTTGCTCTCTCCTGCTCCCTAAAGCAGGAGTTACTCCCTCTTTCCAGAGCCGCTCCTAGCCGCTATAGCATTTTTGGCCAGAGTTGCTTCCTCATACCAGAGTAACTCCCTCTTTCCAGAGCCGCTCCCAGCCGCTATAGAATTCCGGCCAGAGTTGCTCCCTCATACCAGAGTCACTCCCTCTGGCCGGAGTTGCTCTCTCCTGCTCCCTTATGCAGGAGTTATTCCCTCTTTCCAGAGCCGCTCCCAGCCGCTATATAATTTTGGCCAGAGTTGCTCCCTCGTACAAGAGGCTCTCCCTCAGGCCGGAGTTGCTCTCTCCTGCTCCCTTTTTAGGAGTTACTCCCTCCTTCCAGAGCCGCTCCCAGCCGCTATGGCATTTTTGGCCAGAGTTGCTCCCTCACACCAGAGTCACTCCCTCAGGCAGGAGTTGCTCTCTCCTGCTCCCTAATGCAGGAGTTACTCCCTCTTTCCAGAGCCGCTCCCAGCCGCTATAGCATTTTTGTTTGGCCAGAGTTGCTCCCTCATACCAAAGTCACTCCCTCTGGCCGGAGTTTCTCTCTCCTGCTCCCGAAGCAGAAGTTACTCCCTCTTTCCAGAGCCGCTCCCGGCCGCTATAGAATTTTGGCCAGAGTTGCTCCCTCATACAAGAAGTACTCCCTCAGGCCGGAGTTGCTCTCTCCTGCTCCCTTATGTGGGAGTTACTCCCTCCTTCCAGAGCCGCTCCCAGCCGCTATAGCATTTTTGGCCAGAGTTGCTCCCTCATACAAGAGGCACTCCCTCAGGCCGGAGTTGCTCTCTCCTGCTCCCTTTTGTAGGAGTTACTTCCTCCTTCCAGAGCCGCTCCCAGCTGCTATAGCATTTTTGGCCAGAGTTGCTCCCTCATACAAGCGGCACTCCCTCAGGCCGGAGTTGCTCTCTCCTGCTCCCTTTTGTAGGAGTTACTCCCTCTTTCCAGAGCCGCTCCCAGCCGCTATAGCATTTTTGGCCAGAGTTGCTCCCTCATACCAGAGTCACTCCCTCTGGCCCGAGTTGCTCTCTCCTGCTCCCAAATGCAGGAGTTACTCCCTCTTTCCAGAGCCGCTCCCAGCCGCTATAGCATTTTTGTTTGGCTAGAGTTGCTCCCTCATGCCAGAGTCACTCCCTCTGGTCGGAGTTGCTCTCTCCTGCTCCCTTATGTAGGAGTTACTCCCTCTCTAGAGCCGCTCCCAGCCGCTATAGCATTTTTGGCCAGAGTTGCTCCCTCATACCAGAGTCACTCCCTCTGGCCGGAGTTGCTCTCCCCTGCTCCCTTTTGTAGGAGTTACTCCCTCCTTCCAGAGCCGCTCCCAGCCGTTATAGCATTTTTGGCCGGAGTTGCTCCCTCATACCAGAGACACTCCCTCTGGCCGGAGTTGCTCTCTCCTGCTCCCTAAGCAGGAGTTACTCCCTCTTTCCAGAGCTGCTCCCAGCCGCTATAGAATTTTGGCCAGAGTTGCTCCCTCATACAAGAGGCACTCCCTCAGGCCGGAGTTGCTCTCTCCTGCTCCCTTTTGCAGGAGTTATTCCCTCTTTCCAGAGTCTCTCCCAGCCGCTATAGCATTTTTGGCCAGAGTTGCTCCCTCATTCCAGAGTCACTCCCCCTGGCCGGAGTTGCTCTCTCCAGCTCCCTTATGCAGGAGTTACTCCCTCTTTCCAGAGCCGTTCCCAGCCGCTATAGAATTTTGGCCAGAGTTGCTCCCTCATACAAGAGGCACAATCTCAGGCCGGAGTTGCTCTCTCCTGCTCCCTTTTGCAGGAGTTAATCCCTCTTTCCAGAGCCGCTCCCAGCCGCTATAGAATTTTGGCTAGAGTTGCTCCCTCGTACAAGAGGCACTCCCTCAGGCCGGAGTTGCTCTCTCCT